CTGACTGCATGTGCTAAAGCAGCTGGACAAACCCTCATCTAAAAGAACTCAGCAAAACCCTGGACTGTCTCGCGTCTGGCAGAGAACCTGGGAAACATGACATTCCTGCTGAGGTCTGAGAGTGCTGCAAAGGGACTATCATCATCAAACTGCGTGAAATCCTTTGCCTCTGTTGGAGGGACGGTTCTGTGCTGCAAGATATGATAAATGCCAACATAGTCACACTCTGACATAACAAAGATGACGGGAGCAACTGCAATATTTCTCTCCTCACCATCTCTTTACACAAGTTTCTCTGAAAAGCCATAATTGTGTTGGCAGAGAGAGTCTACCCACAGCTGCCGTTTGGACTCTGTGCCAACAGGTCCACATGGTGACAGCTGCAGGAGAACAGGGACAAAAGGCAGGGAACAATGGTGCCTGTTCATAGCCTTCATAGCTCTTACAGATATGAAAGAAGATTGAATGTCCTCCAAGGCTCTTCAGCATCATCAGGTCTTCTTATGAAGACATGAAGGGTAGTGTTGTGTTTGGCTATGTCAGGGCTACACCCTTGCATCCACCCTATCTGTAATATTCTTTGCAGTTCTTCTGACGCATAGCTTTGAATCTGCTGCAGAAGACATCAACCTCAGAAGCTGGTCATACGGCAAACTCTCCAGACTAACATCAAAATACAAAGTTTAGCTGAAATGCTGATGGTGGAAGTAAACACTAGTTAATATAGTGGAGAATACCTGTGGTAAATAACATGGGCGCACACTCACAGCTAAAAGTCCAGTGTCTGACGAGCTGAGTCCTTCCTTCACGCTAACACGTCCTGGATTGCACCACCTGTCATTTACAACACTGCAATCACACCACCTTTCTTCTAACTGCTCAGCTTGAAGTCTTCTGTTAAAGATATACTTAGTTTGCACAAGTTCACCTTAAAAATATAATTCTACATGATTGTATTGGCATTTGTACATTTTGTAAGCATTTACAGTCATGCACAAAGGTTTTGGCAGTATCACCACTAGCATCTAAGTCTTTGAACTGTGCGACATACTGACGATAGATCATCACTAAATACAAACGTGAATAATAATCTCAATAAAAATGAAGTGGCAAAGTGTATGAAACACAAAATTCATGCAGAAACCTTTGGCCATGACTGAACTCAGACAAACTGTGAGAAAGTCGACGTTTTATCCTTTGGACTGTGTGTGCACGAGAGGGTCAGAGGGCATCAGGGAGAATGTTCAAATAGCCTGATACATGTTTAAATACATGTTTACTGCCCGTGGAACAGAGCGAGGAAGGTTTATGTCTGGAAAAAGTGTTTATAATCAAAGGTCAAACTCTTCTCACCAAGCTCATAAAGATGTCAGTGTTTTTGCCAGTAGATGGCAGTAGCGTTTTTTGTTTTGTTTTTTTTACATCAGTGCCTGGTGCTTAAACATCTCTATGCATGATTTCAACAGTCACTGCTGGAAGGAAGTTCTCAAATGACGGTAATTCGTTGTTGGGGTCACTTTTGTCCATGAAAACATGTAACACACATCCAGAGGTTGGGAGTGCCACAACTGTCAAACATTAAAATAGTTTGCCAATGTTTGGCTTCAAAACTTTGGAAATATTTATGATTGACTTATGATTCTTTACCAAAAATAAAAATTGAAGAAACAAAGTGCATAAAACAATTTGTCTCACTGACAAAATAAATGTGGCCATGACTGTAATCTCCGTTGCAAACACTCGACTCTAGAAATAAAATGCTTTTTTAGATGAACCACTCTTCTCTTAAGTCTGATATTTTCCTCTTAATTCTTTTGGCGCACTCAGCAGCAGCTTGTTGGTAACCCTGGACAGGTTGCCAGTTTGTCACCAGAACGTTTAATAGAAATTTAAAATATTGTCGTACTGTAAAAATGCCTTCAACTTACTGCAGTTCTTTGTGATTTTCTTTAGTCAGCTTACACATTAAAACAAGTGATGGGTGGAATCAAAGGTTGGGAAGTTTAAAAAGAAAATATTAATTAATATATATTTTCAAGATACTTTATTTGTCACGTACATAGCGTTTCTGATTTGACCCTGATAGTGTGGAACCTTCTGCCTGATTGCAGAAGCTGAAGCAGTTTGTTACCTGGATGGGACGAGTCCTTTAACATCTGAGCTGCTCTGGACCAGCATCTCCTGGTGTAAATGTCCTGTAGGAACGGGAGAACAGACCTGCAGCAGCGTCTTGACACACAGATCACTCTCTGAAGAGCTTTTTGGTCCTGAACACAGATATCCGTATACCAGGATGTGATGTTTTGTGTGAGGATGCTCTTCAAAGAAAACAAAATGTGTGTATATATAATGACTGATTTTTATCCTGTTCTGGCAGCCATTCTTCCTTGTCTAAACAGTTTGAACTTATTTAAAAATTGTTGCAAGAAACAAGCTGATCTGACCATCCCTGCATTTTTTAACCAAAGGACACACCAAGTAGAAATAAATAAACTGTATAAAATGTCAGGTAAAGGTGTTCAAGATTGTGAAACAGTTGTGGTATGGAGTACTGTTGCCGTCATCTTCCAACTTCTGTAAGAAGAAAACTGATGACACGCATCTCCCGCTGTCGTCTGTCAGCCTTCCTTCACTGAAGTCAGGGCCCAGCACAAACAGCAGGACGTCTGCATCCACCTGCAAATGCATTAAATACAACATGGTTTACAATAACATTAACAATGCAAATAACCAAATTAACTGATGCAGTGATGCTCACACAATAAATGTGGGGTTCCTGAGTCCATAAGAAACAGATACCATTAGTAAAAATATATCTTTTTTACAACCTTGTTTACAACTTTACTTACAACCTTTGAATGTCCGGGAACGAAGAGCTGCTGGCTCTTGTAAACCACAGAGCTTTAGTCCCTGAATGTTGGGATCAGCCGCACCAGTGCATGCAATGTCATGGCACTAAGACAGGGAGGAGATAATACTTTAATTCATTCTGAATGAAGACCAAATATTTATTGATGCTTTATGACTGCTTTTGTAAAACAAGCAAACAATTAAAAAAGAATGAAAGAAAAGGTATTGTTGGACTTTTTGTAAGCATGTCAAATGTTGCATCAGAACAGTTTCTTATGGTTTGTGACTCACTGTCACAGTTGAAATTGTTCTCCTGGTGGTCACAGATACTGTACTTAGTGGCTTTTGCCTTTTTGTCCTTCTCCATCAAAGAAATTACTCCCAGTTCCTCTCATTATTTCTGTGAAAAAGGCCGGTTTCTGTTCAAAGCACAACCTAATTATTCAGATAGCCTGACAGGGACAGAAACTGAAGATCATACGTGGGCGAAAGGGTTGTAATCGGAAGGTTGCCGGTTCGAGCCCCAGTCACAGTCTCGGTCGTTGTGTCCTTGGGCAAGACACTTCACCCGTTGCCTACTGGTGGTGGTCAGAGGGCCCGGTGGCGCCAGTGTCCGGCAGCCTCGCCTCTGTCAGTGCGCCCCAGGGTGGCTGTGGCTGCAACGTAGCTGCCATCACCAGTGTGTGAATGTGTGTGTGAATGGGTGGATGACTGGATGTGTAAAGCGCTATACAAATACAGACCATTTTACACAGTTTACTGATTTAATGAGATCTGCGATCAGCCTTCACTGACAGCCGAACAGGACAAACAGGTAAGAACTGTGCACCACTACTGAAATAAATAGGTTATTACTGAAATACAAGCAAACTATGATATAAATCTAAAGGTGCTATTAACACGTTTAGTTATGAAGGACTCATTAGTTTTCTTCTAACATCCAGAAGTCTGCACGATGTGTTTCATGGTTAAACGTAACATGACCGAAACACCAACACCCCACACAAATCTGATGCTAATCTGATTTTATCCACACTGGTCCACACCACCAACAGTTCAAAGCCATCGATTATCCGGGATCAACTGTCTTGGCTTAGTTTGCACGGTAACCAATCAGGTGTTAGACAAGCTGCAGTGGCAGCGTTAACCCCGCCCCCCTGACTTTGATAACATTAATTAATTACCACAGCCGCAGCGCCAGGAGTGCCAGAATGAATTAAATAAATACGCCATTAAATAATTAATTAAATGTGTTATTAATTAAATACAATTGGAAATAAAGAAATCACTTATTCATTTTTTAAATGAAACGAATGGACATTCAATGAATTATTGAAATATTTATTTAATCAATTAATTCCAATCCTAATTAATTAATGGAACATTTAATTAATGATTTAATGCAGTTTTTAATGAATTCATTGAATCTATACATATACAGAGTTACTTCTGTGCCAGCTACATGATGTAAGTCAGCCTGTGCTGCAGTGTTTCATCTCTTTAAAACAACACTAACAATATCAACATCAACAAATACTTAGACCAAGCAACAAAGCACTACAAACCTGACGTTACCATCGTATATGTTATGTCACGTCAGCATAAATGACAGATACATTTCCCTTTTTTGAAAATGGTGCACAGTAATATCTATTTTCATTTTTGCTGCAGTTTATAAAAATTAATATAACAGCTTTTTTGAGGGATGTATGTTTGACATTTCTGTAACTAGAAAATTGTGACACTTAATACTTACATGTGGACTGAATACATACATATTATACAGTTTTTTAAAATTTGGGCTATAATGCTTGTACTGATGCATAGTGTTTGAAACTTGAAATGTTCCAAAAATGCCACAACAGCATGTAAAAATGTGAAAGAAACTCTGGTGGATTTGTTCTATGTTAGGTGTAAAAGGGTTAATTAAATTGTATTTTCATGCTATGGCATTATGGTTTAAAAAACTATTATATCAATATGGAACAACTGAACTGAACTGAAACAAAAGCAAGAGAAAGCGAGCGGGTCAAGAGTACGATGAGAAGGAGGGAGGGATTTAGAAGGAAAGAGACAGAGAGATTGGAGGATACAGAGGGAGGCAGGGGGTGAGTGCACATGGAGCATGGTTTTAGTTCAGTGGAGTGAACTGACAGAGGAGCTCGCCACAGAGGGAGAAATATTTGGACTTAACTTCCAGCAGCGTGGAGGGACACTGGAAGGCTTCTGTGAGGTAAATGCACTGCAAGTACCACGGGGTGCTGACTCTGCACACGGAAATTAAATGGAAGTTTCTGTGATTTCTTAACAAAGCTTTTATTTCTATGTGTCAACAAGCATCAAGGTTAGCAAGCTTTAGCGTGAGAGGTAGGCAGTAAGTCGGGGGGGGGGGGGGGAGCTTCCAGGCTCTGTCTTAAATCAGTTCAAGAAGTGTCAGCTGCAGTAACGGGAGCTGCAACAAGGCAGGAACACATGTTCACTTTCTGCACTGCACTGCAAGCATTGTTGCACTGTTGCATTCATACACGTTATAATAGTTTGAGAGTGCATCATATTCTTTCAACATGACTCGTTTGCCAAATGTGGACTGTTAAAAAAGAAGCTTCAATTGTGGCATTAAGAGTAAAACAATAATAATAGACACACAAAAACCCTGTGAACCACATTCCCAGCAGCTAACAGCATCTGTGTGATTAACCTCTTTCACCTGACATGATATTTATTTGGCCTGGTTCTTCTAAAGAGCTTTTTCATTATACCTGAGCACTCAGACTGCTTCCCTCATTTACACAGGATGTTTGTTCTACTGTCTATCTAAAACTCACACACATTCACACCCCGATGGGTCCATCGGACAGCAGCTTGGGTTTAGTATCATGCCCAAGGATATTAGGCATGCAGACTGGAGCATGGACTGAACAGGGATCAAACCAACAACCTTCCAATTAGTAGATGTCATATTTGAAAAATTCAGGGCATTAAAAATGAAAGCAACTTGAGCTGCACTTTAAATCTCATTTAAATGTTGAAAAGTTACACAATTGTTGTAATGTCCAAGGCAGCCCTCCATTTATGTCCCTTTTATTTAAAAAAATGTGTTCACTCAGAGAGAATCCATAAGACACTGGGAGAACACAGAGTAGCTTCAAACCCAGGACCGTTCTCCTGTGAGGCGATGATGCTAACCGCTGCACCACTGTACTGCCATAGCCTTATTAGTGTAAAAGCTTCGTCCTGAACCTTTAATTAGTATTAGTTTGTCAAGGAGCTCCTCTGTGTATCAAAGTATTCTGGAGTTAATTCTGCGGCCATCTGTCCGTCAGCTTAAGCTTTTCCCAAATCGGGTCATGCAGTAGGACAATGATCCCAAGCATGCCTGCAAATCTACAGCAAATGGCTAAAAAGAGAAAAGAATCAAGCCAAAGTCTAAACTTCAACCCAGCTGGCATGATGTGTCAGGACCTCAGGTAAGCTGTGGACAACTGAACGCACACAAACCCGAGCAGCATTTTTCATTTCAATCAGGTTTATGTAGTGCCAAATCACAGCAGCGGTCACCTCAAGATACTTCATATTGTAAAATAAAGACCACGCAATAATGCAAAGACCCCCCCCCCCCCCCAAAGACCCCCCCCCCCATCAGAAAACCAAAAAGCAAACAGACAAACAAAAACAGTAATATTCAAGTGCCAGAAATGTACCATCACATCAAAGTAAAGAAAGTTTCCATAATTAAATTACAGTAAATGTCCTCATGTCATAATAGTTTAAATATGGTTGTTTTAGTTTTAAATTTACACAAAATATTGTGTATTTTAAGAGATTTTATATAGTAAATAAAGTTGAAACAATGAAATGACTAATAATATGGTCAAACACAGTTCTTTACATTTACATAAACCTAATATTGCAGAAATGCGCTGTTATTGGGTTTTATTATGAAATTTAATGTAAAACAAAATCTTGTACTTTTATTCCATAATTTAAGTCAAAATACTTTTATTAAACTAGTAACTGGGTTTAGAAATGACAGTAATCTAATGTTCATCTTTGTGCATATGACGTGTATAATTTTTCCATGTATTCTAAGATGGATTCAGCCTTTTACAGTAGCCAGAAAACGGTATTGTAATTATAATATAGTTTGTTACAGATCACATCAAGTAGATACTAATGGTGTGAATATTGAAAGAGCTGACTCCAGACCATCACACTTCCTCCTCCGTGTTTGACAGTCCACACACTATGGAACCGTCCTTTCACCCACTCGACGGTGTACAAAGATCCTGTCTGATGACCCGAAGATATCAAATTTTGATTTATCAGTCCATAACAGTGTTCTTCAAGTTACTTCAAAAAAGTAATTAGTTACTTATTCTCCAAAAAAGTAATCCCATTACATTGCTGATTACTTATTTTCAAACGTAATAGTTACTTTTAAAAACATGATGCACAACCTGAATATGTAGTAAAGCAACAGACCTTCAGCCCAATTCTACTTTTCTGCATACAACAGAAAGCCTCTTCCTAAAAAAATGTTTTATTAGTTTTAATCTTTGAACTTTGAGCACATTGCATCGAGCAAGAATTTAATCATATGCAACATTCTCTGACTTGTGTTCAACATTTAAAGCTATTTTCTGCACATTCCAGCAGATAAAGTCAAATCATGTTTTAAGTAGATGCAAGTAAAAAAAATAAAATAAAATCAAAGACTCAGCAGCTCTTAAATCTATTGTCTGTGTTTATCAGGAGTGGGGCGGGTGGAGGTTTGCCCACAGTGGTCATGTCAGTGGGAGGATCCGGGGGTTTCTTGGTGAATGTCACGTTCCTGTGGCAGCGCGCTCGCTGCTCGCTCAGATTTCAAGTTTCATTTTTCGCTGTAAAAAGAAGTTTTCTTCCCACGCAGAGTGAACACCGGACACTAATGTTTTTGTCACTTTTTACAGAATCAAACTCAAAGTAATGTGATTACTTCCACACTTTAAACGCTGCATGGTCGTACTCTCTCCATCACTCCATATGATCCATTGTTGATCTCCACACAGCTGTTGCCACGGACGTCGCACACTCGTACGTCATTGTCATGAGACACTCTCACAAACAAAATCACGGTTTAGTAACGCAGTAACGCAGCGTGACTACAGGAAAGTAACAGTAATCGAATTACTTTTTTTTTTGCAATAGTAATCCCTTACATCACTCATTACATGAAATAAGTAATCCGATTGCATTACTGTCCATCTCTGGTCCATAATACCTTCTTCCAGTCTTCAGTCGTCCCGTGTCGGTGTTTCATGGCCCAGACAAACCTCTGTCTTATTCTGACGTCTGGCTTTCTTTCTGCAACTCGTCCTGTCAAACCTGCAGCTCAACGTTTCTCTTCACAGCTGGAACTGAGACTTTCTCACTACGACCACTATGAAGCTGCTTGAAGCTGTTGTCCTGTGAGCCGCCATCACACAGCTGTTACCTCTCAGAAACTTGTCCTCTGATTCAGTCGTGTCTTTGGGTCTGCAGACGTCTTCCTGTCACAGTTTGTGAGCCTTTGGATGCTGAAGGAAACTGGACTCACTGACACTTTGACTTTCTTTGCAGTTTCTCTGTAGGACAGACCGACATTTATAAGTGTTATGTTGGTCTGTCTCTCTTCCACTGTTAATCTCACGATTTTGTACCAACACACTACTCTCAGCAGTACAGTACTGTTCAACTGATGCTGACGAGGGTACCACAGTGTGTTCCAACACTGCTTTATGCAGACAGAGGGGGTTGGAAGTAATGCAGAAAATCCAGAGAAGTTGAAACAGCTGTAGGATTGAGTAGCACCAGCTTTCAAGGCTTGCTCAGCCTCCATCGCTGCAGAACAGCTTTAGGTTGTTAACCCACGCTGTGTTCCCCGAAAAAGTCTTTTTGTCTAATTCTGAAATGTACCTTATTTATTCTTTGTTTTTAACCTCTGGCATTTCACCACTTAAATTTGTACAATTTCAAGCTATTCATAGGACTTAAAATGCAACAAATAACTGGAAAAATTAGGATGTTCTAAAACTTTACCAGTAGTATATATTAGAGAATGGTGAGATTTTACTTTATAGTGACAACTCCTAAGCAATTAGGACACTAAATTACTGTGCCCTAATTTTTTAATTATTACTAACAAATAGACCACAACAAAAAACAAACCCTAACAATTTGATATTAAAAAAGAATAACTTATTCAAAAAGGTTTTTAATGAGCCATTAAAAACAGAAATGAAAATTAAAAACATTAAACCCTAAATTTAGAGTCACACTGAATGTGGCAAGTTTCCCTGATGATTCAGGCACCTAGAGATGCTTGAACAGCAAAGATATGTTTGAATCTGAGTGCAGTTAATTTCAGGTAAAGTTTAGGTTAACTGTGAAACGGTGCACAGGTAGTCTGGCTCTACCAGGACGGCACGTCCATAGATGCAGTTGCAAGAAGGTTTGGTCTGTCTCCAAGCACTGCCTCAAGAGTGCGGTAGAGATACCAGGGGATAGGCTATGACATGAGGAAAGCAGAACAGGACTGTGGAAAGGCATCGACTGTGCCTCGGGGCCAATGCCTTCATGCAAGGAGGAAGCGAACAAACCCAGCCATAGCTCACAGTCAGCTCCATGCAAACTGTCTGAGATTCCCCGGAGAATAACAGAACTGGCTGGTCAGCTGTTTACAGTGTTCCTCGTCCCTTTATCATCTTTTTGCTTTGATTTATCTTGATGAGGCATCTGTTGAATTCAGTTTAAATAGACAAATCTGAAGAATGGTATTGAGTGACTAAACATCAGCTTTACATTAATATATTGTTTTATATATCAGCAATGACCGCAGCAAAACAGGGGGAGTTTGCAAACTGTATGTTTGTGGTGTGTCATGGTGAGGATGAGGACACAAAACCAGGACTCAGACAAAAGGGTAACTTAGCCGAGGGTAGAGTCTCAGCTTCTGGTGGCCGGCCGTAGCCCACGGGGCCGGGTGCAAAAAAGTGGCACAGCTCTGTCCTCCTGTGGGCCCACCACCCACAGAAGAGGCCGTAGTTTGGTGCTTACTAGACTTAGCAGTCAGAGGCAGAGGTTCTGGCACTCTCAAAACTAGCTTATGGTACATGTAGTGTCCCCTGGTGCAGAAGGAGCTCGAGCTGGTGCACAAGGTTGGAAGATGCTGACTAGATATAGTCTGGCTCACCTCAACACAAAGCTCCAGTTTGGTGGAGAGCAGTTAGACTCTCTTGCACTGTGCAGTTGTCCAGTGTTAGGTATACCTGCAGCCCCTTGGCTTTCCCCAGTGGACAAAAGAGTTGCTTCCCTGCATCTTCAGGTTGGAACAGGCTCTGGCTGTTATTTGTGCCTATGGGCCAAATGACAGAGTGCCAAGTGTTGTTAGTCACAGGGTGGGGTGCTGGAGAGTGCTCCAATCAGAGTTATAACACCGACTGGTTTTATGAGTGGATTATTCTGCCACAATATTCAGTTAAAAAGGGTTGGACAGCTTTCACATTTGAACTTAAATACTGGTGTACTGTGAGGGTGGCATCACTGTTGCAGTTCTGGTGCACTAAAATATTAAATGCTAATGTTAGATTGTTACTGGTTATAGTTGTGTTACATGAGGTACAATGACTAAAACCTCAGTGTGTGTTTGTTTACCAAAAAACAGCATTCTGACGAGAACGAGCAACCATCAAGTGGATAAATGAATTCAATTAATGAAAACATAAACAACATCATGAAAAAAACCTAATCAATTGCCTGAACAAGACAAGACTTTTTTATGGTGGCAACAAATGTTCGAAAGTTAACTTTGGTTTAAACGTTTGATCGGGACTGTGTGTGAACAAACATCCTCTGTGATGAAGAAGAGTCTGGATGCAGATCCTCTCTCAGTGACTGAATGGGACTTTAAGACACTGCGTTCAGCCCAAAATGAATTCGATTTCTGTCACTGAACAAGAAAAAATAAATGAATAATTAAAGATGAAAGAGGGTCGTTCTACAATTACTTAAAAGTGATTTCTTTTTTTTAAATGGAACCTTTATTTGACTGTTTCTTGTAATAAATTTAAGAAAAACAAATAATAAACAACCAAAAACTTAGTCCAGCTCGGGCATCAGAAGTACAAATGTTTGGAGATATTTAGTTGCTGTGCTCAGCACAACAGTTAAGGATGAGTCGCCCTCATAATGAAACGTCATTCAACTTTAGATATGACGTAACTTATATTCGTATAAGCAACTTTCAAAATCAAGCATGCCCCAGTTTTCAGTAGTCAGCTGTTTCTTTTAGTAATTCAGTACTCATCATTTTTCTCATTGCCCAGATTATTATAATAATAATCAAAATGACAGAGCACTGCCAGAAGACTGTGAGTGATTTTTGTGGAAGCCTTTACACGTGCAGTCTGACAGTGTGTAGACAAAAAAGTTCAGTAAGAATTATTTAAAAACACGTGAGAGAAAATCATCAACCCCATCATAAGAACAACGATGATTCAGTCACTGAATCATGGGGGGGTCCATACCAGGTCCTTGGCCCTATGTCACAGTGATGGCAGCCGTTCAGACACTGCCCCTCTGACGGAGAGTACAACAATGTGAGCGTAGGTGTTGTTATGTATTCACTGTAAGTCTGTGAAGCAGGTGCATGACAAGACTAATCAGGTATTAACATCACCTCCCGCTTGTATTTAATGGTTCAAACAAGGCAAAATGAACTGCTTTAGAAAACCATTGAGACAGGAAGGAAGGGAAAAAAATTATGCTTACATAAAAAAAAGTTCATAATCCCACTTAAGTAATAGTACTTAAGTTTTAATAAGATAAGTAAAAATGTATGCTGAGACCACCCATCTATCCATTTTCTTCTTTTAATGCAAAACAAAGCAAACACAATTTAAATTGGCAATAAAACATTAAAATGACAGTACCAGTGATCCTGATGTGTGATTAAGATTTCCTGTATGTCCTTGTGCCAGTGGATCTGTGTCACAGCAGGTACTCCACTACCTGTCCAATCAGCGCTGCAGAGCAGTGTCAGGATTACAGGTGGGATAATAGTTTGTTCTCTGACTTTGTCTCCACTAAAGCTTCAAATGTAATAAAGCATTAATAGATTTAAAGTTTATAAGTAAATGTAAGTAACAAAAGTGAGACTTTGTAGCTGAACTGTTTTGTTCAAGTCTACATTATAATGCTGCTATTTAAACCTGTTCTTCCAGGTGTCTCTGCTGAGGAACTGAGGAGCACACGAGGTGGTTCTTCTGCAGTCACAGAACAGGACGAAACTCATGGTCCAACAAACCCAGGCCAACCAACAATGACCTTCAGAGATTTGCCTGATTGAGCAATGACAGTATATGAATTATCTGGGAATACAGTGGAATTCTTGCCCAGTCCGTGCCAGCAGGTCAAATCCAGCTTTGGACGTTCATTCTCAACCTCAAACTAACCCAGTTTGTTTTTAACATTGCTTTCCCTTTTTTTGACAAACACATTCACTGATGATAACAAAGAGATATGTCACTATATTCCTGGTGGGATCCTGCTTGTTATTGGACCACTCCTCCCAAATCCCTTTGCAGACTTCCCTCCACAACAGAACTAGCAGGGGTGCCATTACATTTTCTGGTGGAGGGAGGAAAAATCTGAGTTTGAGGCCTTCTTTGGGGGAAGTTCCATCAGTGGAGGGCAAGAGGAGATGGCGGAGGCAGGGTAGGTTGGGAACTCACCGGATTAAGAGAGGATGGGTGTGGAACCAGTTCTTTGTCCTGGAGGAGTACATGGGATCTGAACCTCAGTATGTTGGAAAGGTAAGCGAAACAAAATCGTTATATACGATCGTTATATATGCTGTTACCAGATTATTTTGAGAGAGCTTGTGTGTAATCTGTACTTGTCTTTAAACAGCAACTTTACCAACATTACTGACTCTTTACCTTCTGTTAATTTTAACAGAAAAGACCTGATGTTTTTAGCTCGTCCATGTTGCTTCATTTTTACATTTTTCTGCTTGGAGCTCGCTTGTACCAGGAAGTGGATTTGGATGAAATCTTTAGAAAATATCCAGATAAGGCTAAAATATATGCTTTCATTTCAAATGCTTTGAGATGTTTTATTTGAAATAAGAAGAAAACAAAAAGGCATGAAAACTAAAAAATCTCACAGAACTCTAAAAATATCAGAGGAAAACTATCAAATCAGATAAAACTAAAGTGTACAAACTCCCAAACTTTGTAGTATAACACAGTAAGATACTTAAAAATGAGAGCAGATGGCTAAGCTAAGCTAAGATAAGCTATGCTACTACTCCAGTACTACTAAAAAAAAAAAACAAATACCAAAAAACTCTTTGCTGTTGCACCTGTTCAAATTCTATCTAATCAGCAAATCACATGGAAGAAACTGAATACATGTAAGTATTTAAACATAATGAAGACAACCTGGTGATGCACAATAGAAGCCAGTACAGATGATGAACACCCTTCCTTGTTGACTTGAAGTCCACATCAGGGGTAAACGTGTGAAAAACCAAGAAGATAATTAAACCATGTATTTGGAGATTTGTTATACTCCTGCTACTTTATAACTACTACTACAGAGCTGGGCAGCCCAACTTTACTTACACAGAACATTATGACAGATGATCTCCATCTCTCTGTCTTTTTCTTTCCTTTAATGGAGATGGTCCTCTGTGGCTGAGTGCATCACTCTGGTTACCAATAGAATAAGCTGATTTTAACACATTGCTTCATTACAACATAATAGTATCAAAAGGTTGCACCATTTCTTGTCTAAATGAAATTTGCCCATTTCTAAGCCTTGTTTGGTAACGGTGCAGCTGAAGACAGCGTAGGCCCCGCTAGCTGTTCCCCGGCAGACTGTCCTGAGCAGCTGGGGAAAGAGGGCGGCTGGGTGATGGTGAGGAGGAAGCGTAGTCTTAAACAGAAGCCCCAGGTACACCACCAACCATGTGTCTGTTTTTCCCCACTCGGTGACACACCCGCCGGGGGTCAAACTCTGGTAATTGGTGATTCTGTTCTCAGACATGTGAAACCTTCTGGAGGAAACCTGGTCTTGTTAGGAGAGACGGCATCCATCCCACTTTGGATGGAGCAGCTCTCATTTCTAGAAACATGGACAAATTTATTAACCCCCCCAAAATATGACTATCCAGAGTTGGGACCAGGAAGCAGAGTTGCAGTCTTACACGCCTCTCTGCAGCTTCTCTCCTCCTGCTACCCCCCCCAAAAACCCATCTCCATAGAGACTGTGTCAGCTTCCAAACAGACAAAAAACAAACTAAAAACCAGCAACAAACAACTTAAACATAAACAATTACAAAGAAAGAACAATACAGTATCCACATCTGAACCAAAGAGTTACACAGTGAGATGTGGATTATTAAATATTAGGTCTCTCTCCTCCAAGTCTCTGTTAGTACATGACTTAATAATTGATCAACAAATTGATTTACTCTGCCTTACAGAAACCTGGTTGCAGCAGGATGATTATGTTAGTTTAAATGAATCAACACCCCCGAGTCATTCTAACTACCAGAAACCTTGAAGCACAGGCCGAGGGGGAGGTGTGGCAGCAATTTTTCACACCAGCCTGTTAATTGTAGCTCAAGAGTTGGGAGTTCGCCTTGTAATCGCAAGGTTGCCGGTTCGAGCCCCGGCTCGGACAGTCTCGGTCGTTGTGTCCTTGGGCAAGACACTTCACCCGTTGCCTACTGGTGGTGGTCAGAGGGCCTGGTGGCGCCAGTGTCCGGCAGCCTCGCCTCTGTCAGTGAGCCCCAGAGTGGCTGTGGCTAAATGTAACTTCATCACCAGTGTGTGAGTGTGTGTGAGTGGGTGGATGACTAGATGTAGTGTAAAGCGCTTTGGGGTCTATAGGGACTAAGTAAAGTGCTATACAAATACAGGCCATTTACCATATATATATATATATATATATATATATATGTGTGTGTATATATATATGTGTGTGTGTGTGTGTGTGTGTATATATATGTGTGTGCGTGTATATATATATATATATACACACACACATACTTTTATGTATTTATTCATCAAGATAAATCCAGCCACTTCGCACATAGGATTTGAATACAGATTGTTTAGATTACAGTTCTGGCTAACCAGCTATTGGCTGATACAGTGGGGCAAAAAAGTATTTAGTCAGCCACCGATTGTGCAAGTTCCCCCACTTAAAATGATGACAGAGGTCAGTAATTTGCACCAGAGGTACACTTCAACTGTGAGAGACAGAATGTGAAAAAAAAATCCATGAATCCACATGGTAGGATTTGTAAAGAATTTATTTGTAAATTAGGGTGGAAAATAAGTATTTGGTCACCTCAAACAAGGAAAATCTCTGGCTCTCACAGACCTGTAACGTCTTCTGTAAGAAGCTTTTCTGTCCCCCACTCGTTACCTGTATGAATGGCACCTGTTTGAACTCATCATCTGTATAAAAGACACCTGTCCACAGCCTCAAACAGTCAGACTCAAAACTCCGCCATGGCCAAGACCAAAGAGCTTTCGAAGGACACCAGGAAAAGTATTGTAGACCTGCACCAGACTGGGAAGAGTGAATCTACAATAGGCAAGCAGCTTTGTGTGAAAAAATCAACTGTGGGAGCAATCATCAGAAAATGGAAGACATACAAGAACACTGATAATCTCCCTCGATCTGGGGCTCCACGCAAGATCTCATCCCGTGGGGTCAAAATGATCATGAGAACGGTTAGCAAAGATCCCAGAACCACACGGGGGGACCTGGTGAATGACCTGCAGAGAGCTGGGACCAAAGTAACAAAGGTCACCATCAGTAACACACTACAACGGCAGGGAATCAAATCCCGCAGTGCCAGACGTGTTCCGCTGCTGAAGCCAGTGCATGTCCAGGCCCGTCTGAAGTTTGCCAGAGAGCACATGGATGATACAGCAGAGGATTGGGAGAATGTCATGTGGTCAGATGAAACCAAAGTAGAACTTTTTGGTATAAACTCAACTCGTCGTGTTTGGAGGAAGAAGAATACTGAGTTGCATCCCAAGAACACCATACCTACTGTGAAGCATGGGGGTGGAAACATCATGCTATGGGGCTGTTTTTCTGCCAAGGGGACAGGACGACTGATCCGTGTTAAGGACAGAATGAATGGGGCCATGTATCGTGAGATTTTGAGCCAAAACCTCCTTCCATCAGTGAGAACTTTGAAGATGAAACAAGGCTGGGTCTTCCAACATGACAATGATCCAAAACACACCGCCCGGGCAACAAAGGAGTGGCTCCGTAAGAAGCATTTGAAAGTCCTGGAGTGGCCTAGCCAGTCTCCAGACCTCAACCCCATAGAAAATCTGTGGCGGGAGTTGAAAGTCCGTGTTGCTCGGCGACAGCCCCAAAACATCACTGCTCTCGAGAAGATCTGCATGGAGGAATGGGCCAAAATACCAGCTACTGTGTGTGCAAACCTGGTAAAGACCTATAGTAAACGTTTGACCTCTGTTGTTGCCAACAAAGGTTATGTTACAAAGTATTGAGTTGTATTTTTGTTATTGACCAAATACTTATTTTCCACCCTGATTTACCAATAAATTCTTTACAAATCCTACCATGTGGATTCATGGATTTTTTTTTCACATTCTGTCTCTCACAGTTGAAGTGTACCTCTGGTGCAAATTACTGACCTCTGTCATCATTTTAGGGGGGGGAACTTGCACAATCGGTGGCTGACTAAATACTTTTTTGCCCCACTGTATGTAGTTAAAGCTGTAGTGCTGTGTGTGTGTCTGTGTGTGTGTGTGTGTGTGCGCGCATTCCTTCTTCTGGAGGATTTGTGCTCCTCCCAGTGACAGCAGGTGTCTCCCCTCATAATCAGCTTTGCGGGTTTTAAAGAAGAAGAAGAGGGGAGCAAATAGGGCTGTTGGGCAGTGTTCACACTGTGTGTGTGTGTGTGTAAGAACACTACTGATTGTCGTGTTACTCCCATTGGGGAGGGTGTGCACTAAGTGTGTTGTTTAGCAGCAGATGTCAGTGGACTCTGGTCATCAGTTTGTATTACTCTGCTTTCCTTTGGAGTTGTTTACCTTTGTGTTTATTTATATACTTTCATTTATTTATACTTTTTTGTGAAGCATCTTTGAGGTTCTTGACAGGGGTTATACAAACCTGAGTTAATATTAATTTAATTGTCCTTGCTGAAATACACAAGGCCTTGCCTAAAAAACAAAAAACAACTGGATTCTAGTTGTTCTACGGATTTTTGGTCATATTCTTCATTTCAGTGCATCAAATGTTCGAAATTGGTGAGCACTGATTTGGAGCTCTCCTCTAAAAATCCAGGCTCCTGTAAGAGGAGAAAATGTGAGGCCTTCCCTGAAAAAGTAGTGTTCTTTGCTCTTGTATATACCTGTCAGCACTTATAGTTGTCAGTTACATAGGCGTTGATGCGCACCAGCTCCCCCCGCCCCCCCATCAACACCACCACTGGGTATTAAGCCGAATAGTCCCTCTCCTTTGTAGTTTTCCAAAGAGAATTTGAATTTGTCTGATCACTGAACTATTTTCCACATAAGCTTTGTACCAGAGCAGACGATGGTATTTCTGGAGAATGTTGATCTCTGACTTCTTGATACCACAGCAGAGCTTTAAACAGCAAACTGTGTTCATAACTGATGCTGGAATCGTGCTGATGGCCTGACGGCTTTCAGTATTGGTTTTTAGCCTCGTCAAGATTCTTGGACTCTTTATGTCATTTTGTACGGTAGATGATGAGATTTTTAACGTCTTTGATGTCTATTTTAAATGATTCAAAAATAACTTTTAGGCAGAATTATTTCAGATTGGTTCACTTCTGTCCATCATTACTTATGATTTCTTATAATTGTCTCATTATAAATATTGTATATGTTTTCCTGTTGAGAGAAGAAACAATTCACAGATAAACATATCATGTTTTTATCATTGCATTCGGTTGATTTACATTTTACAACTTTTTTGGACATGTGGTTGTAAGTGGTTGGTTTATTAGCTCGTGTTGCTCTGAGTTTCATGCATGAACTGTTTTTGTCTGACACAGTGATCAGTGTTTGGAACGTGTGCCTCAGTACTGGTCTACCTCCGCTCTGTAACATCGTCACATTTCTACTGCTAAAAATCACCTGCAGCTGATCGTTGAATATCTAGGAGGGACTTCATTTCACAAACTGACTTGTTGCAATGGTTGCAACTTATTACAGTTTATTACGCCAACATCTTAGCCGACTGGTTATTAATTAAACTACAAAAGGTCTAAATAGATCCTCATTGCAATGTTTGGAGCCCACTGGTCAGTTAGTTGTTGACTTTCATATTTCATATATTGAACCCCTTTTAGATAAGTGTAATGCCCTGCACAGTAGAGCTTGTTTTGAAAATATTTGTTGACTTTATATTTATTATGGATAATTTATTTGGAAATAGTGTTAGTTAGTATAGTAATTGTAGTATATATTCTACAAACAAGAGATTATTCTGTTGAATGAGAAATTATGTTGTTTGATTAATACATTGTATTATTATTAGGCGTGGGACTCAATTAAAACAAATAATCTAATTAATTAGAGGCTTTGTAATTAATCATCTCGGTTAATCACATTTAATCGCACAAGAAAATATTCCTCAAAGTGCAAATGTTTTTTTTTTAATTTAAAAGGGTTTTAGTGGGCGACAGAATCAAATAATAAACATGGACATGAATATTGGAAACTCAAGCTCTTTACATTTCTAGAAAAAAAATCCCTGGGCAGGCTTAAAAATGAAGCGCTGTTTTAAGTACTTTAAGTATATTTTCAAAATGGCTTTGTTTTTAAATAATAATAATAATTTCAACATGAGTGAAGTTTAATCTTCTTAAAAAAATAAACATAAAAGGTTATTTGACCAGCTTCACCTTTAAACTCTGAGTAACCTGAGCCAACATTATTTTGTACATTAGGCTAAAACAGTGAACATAAAACATGTAGCTCCGGCGGTAGAGCATCTAATGATTGGAAGGTTGGTGGTTCGATTCCTGGCTTCCTCCTAGTCTTCATGCCAAATATCCTTGGGAAAGATACTAACCCCCTGTTGCTCATCCATTGTATGTTAATGTTAGATAGGCACTAACAGCTTAGAAAAAGTGCTTGTGTGATTGGGTGAATGAATTAGTTGTATAAAGCGCTTTGATGCTCAGAGTAGAAAACCACTAAATAAGAACCAGTCCATTTACTCACAGTACCTCCATGCTTATTTACTGTCCGTCTCTTTCAGCCAGTTACAAACTAGCCTGTTCACGTGTTCAGAGCAGCTTTTTGTTACTATGTGACCTGCAGGTGAGAACAGTCTGTCACATGGGACAGAAGTGGCAGGACCAATCACAGACAGCTGTGGGTGGGTCCCTGCTCGACTGGACCACCACTGCAGCGGGCAGTCTGTCTGGCTGATGGTGGATTCTGCTCTGTGCAAACTCTTCCTCATCAGAGGGGAGGAGGAGGCTCTTTGTCTCTGCTGGCTCCTTTGTGGTGCCATCTTCACACTGTTCCTGCAGCAGGACCTCAAGGCTGCTCCAAACCTCCTCTCGCTCTCTCCTTGCAGGACACTTTAAATCCTTAAAGTGGGTCAAGCACAGCAGCTATCTGGTGTGTAGCTCACTGATGGTTGAGTGTAGCTACACCTTTGTGAAGGCAGTCTTAAACTTCACCATGTAGTTTGGGTCATCATCAGAGACCTCCATGTTGTGATGCAGGTGGCAGAAAGCAGGTAACACCACTGAACATCAGACAGACGTCTCACCTCCAAGAAGCTCAGTCACGAACCTGTAGTAGACAGTTCAACAAAGTAATTATTATCTACACAATAACTGTCAACTGTAGAGCTTTTTGAAGAAACAGTAACAATAAGTAAAAAATGGTTTTATTTACCTGCATGGCTCAAGTGGCTCTTTGTGTTGCCCCAGTCTTGTTTGCTCCTGGTGTAGTTCCTCCATATTAGCAGGGCTGTCTGTAATCTCATGTTGTTTGCTTTTCAGTGTCATAAAGCTGTTGAACTTTACTTGAAATAGGCAGCTGGAAAGTTGGATCACCTGACGCCAACTGTAGCACATTTTCTAACCCGCTATCTTCTCCCACTGATAGTGGTCTACAGACAGAGCAATCCATTTTGTGAGAGAATTTGTAAGTTTGTCCGATGTTGACTTGCTAATTTTGGTCCTGATGCCAGGTATTTCATCACGTTTCGGCTGCTGACACCTTTTCTTGTTACTGGGACTGCTAGCGCTAACAGCTCCCACAGTTTCTGTACTCACTGCAACATGTTTTGCATTTAGATGATGCCGTAAGGTTGAAGTGCTTCGGTGGTATGCAAACTCCTTTTTGCACAGTTTGCACATAACCACGCTTTTATCAAGGTTCCATTGGATAGTCTTTAGAAATCAAATTAGCCTCTGATCAGTCTGAGGTGACATGAGCCGGCTCCTTATTGGGAGCCATGGGTTTTTTTTCCTCTCTCTCTCTCTCTCTCAGCCTCTCTCTCTCTCGCACTTTTTTCCGCTTCACTCCGCACGTGAGCCTTGTGCTTTGTGCTGGGCAGAGGGGGGAGGGGCGGTAGTTACACTCAGTAGCACAGGAACAGAGCGGGAGGGAGAGAGAGAGAGAGCCAGGGACAACAACGTCACATTAGAAAGGTATAGTGATCATCCACAACTATTTTCGGTTGCAGATGATAAAGGATTCAGAAAGTTTATTCATGCAGGTCCATATGACAGAGAATGTGCATGTTCTTTTTGTTTTCATATTATAATTTATATTTAATTGTGTTGTGGTTTGCAGTGTTTTGTGTTGTTTCACTTTAAATTTGTTTAAAAGGAAAAAGCTGAAAATTGAAATAGTTAAAAGTTCAAATGTGAATAGTTGGTTTTTGTATTATATGATTTATTTATTACATTTTATGTGGAGTGAATAAATAAAAGTATATTTACGGTGGCCGCTAGAGACAAAGCACGTACAAAACACAACAGAAGTGCTCCAGGACGCTAGGCGCAGTGTTACCTGGTGGCTACACAAGCCAGCAAGTACCAACGACCGGATTTGGTGTGTGGTAGTAACAGGTAAATAAACATTTTTTTTAAATTATTTGAATATATGTGAGTGCTTGTGTATAAATACACAAACAAGATAATTGAATATGCTTTCAATTGTGTAATTTAAGTGATCTAGTAGCTCTGTTTTGGAAGTTCAGTTCATGCTAGAAATGTGTTTTGGAGTTTGTACGTGCTTTGTCTCTAGGGGCCACCGTATATATTTATATATAAACGTATATAAATAAAAAGACTTTTTTTACGTTAGTAATTCCTTTTTTGCATAATTTTATATTATTGTTAAAAATAAATTAGTTAAAGCAACAAAACAACCTGAAGAGCCGGTTCGGAGCTGAAAGAGCCGGAAATCCCATCACTATTCTTTGTAGCTCTGATGTGTGCATCAGTGTAATCGGTCTACCAGGAAATGGTGCATTGACAAACGTTCCTCTTTGCTTGGAATGCAAATATGTCAAGCCAGTGTTATTAAATGCGTTATTTTTTTATGCGTTATATTTTTCAAATTAATTAATCACAGTTAACGCTTGTTAACACTGAACTCATTCATCTGTTACCCAAATGTTTCTAGTTAGCATGGGATTTGGACTAAAAATGGCATGTTAGTGAAAAATGTATATTTGACAAAGATGACCCAAATAAACCCAAAAAAATGAAAAAAAAAACTGTTTTAAATGATGATTTCATTTGCAAACAAAAAACATTAACCAAAGTTAGAGCAGTCTAACTATTCTACACTGACCTCTGGCATCAACGTGTGCAGGAAACTCCCAGCAGATCAGGGTTTCAAACTCCGGCCCTCGAGGCCTGCAGCAGATAGCTGCTTCTGAAATAAGCCCAGCCCACCTCACTCCCAAACTATGCCACCTTCATAGTCACTTAGATCACTCTTGTTCCACTTCAGCAGCTTATACTGACCAAGTCTACATGCTTACAAACAGATACACATTACACACTATGTCATGCTGATTAGATACTTGCATTAACAAGCAGCTGAACAGGTGTACCGAATGCAGGAGCTAGTCAGTGTATTCATATCGTTCTCATAGACAACAAATGAAGACTGATGCAGTTAATGTGCATATCATCTCCTAAATAAGAAAACAATACAGTATTTGTGATGCTTTTCTGACACATAATTTCCTCTGCAGCTCCACACTGAGATGGACCAGGGAGATAATGCAGTGAAATATACACTCTCAGGAGAGGGAGTGGGGTCTGTCTTCACCATTGACCAAATGACAGGAGATATACATGCACAGGTGGTGCTTGACAGGTCAGTACCTCCCAATAATATTGTCTAAACTGACTAAGCACCTGAAAACAGTAATATCTAAGTAGGAACCTAGAGAAGGCACATCCTCCCAAACTGTTTTTCTCAGGAGTTGCAATGGACGGGGAAGTGAGACTTGGACAAATCAGAATCAACCTTTTTCTGTCAGAGAGATGATTGTGTCCACAGAGATGCTGACTTTGGCTGAGATTTTTTTAAAAATGCACAAAAGATTCAAGGCGATTTTTTTTTTCCACAAAACAGGCTGAGGCTTGATCAACTTCAGCTGAGTCACCTGAGCAAGAATGTTTGATGTTCAAGACCTGAAACAGCTGCTGACCTCAGAAAACATCACTGAACATATGCATTACCTTTAAAACTGCAGATGTGTTATTACAGCTTTCTCTTGAACTGTCACTGCGGGCGGCCAGCCCTGTTGTTTGGAGACTTTGGGAGTCGTTGAAAAAGAGACCAATCATGAGTAGCATCTGCCTTCAGAGTTTCTACCGTTGCGGCTCGAGGGCTTGATAATATTCACATGCTGCCATCACATTGTGTTGCAGTCATTCGTTGCATACAATACACAGTAAAACTGTCAAATTTATAAATTGATTCTATACAAAATCAGCACGCTCTAAAGAGTGTGTGTGTGCGTGCGAGCGTGCGCGTGTGTGTGTGTGTGTGCGCGTGTGTGTGTGTGTGCGCGTGTGTGTGTGTGTGTGTGTGTGTGTGTGTGTGTGTGTGTGTAAGAGAGAGAACCCATTCCACCTAAACAGGACACATTCAACAGTGGCAGTTGTTTTGTTGTTGTTGCTTTTTTGCAATTGCAGGTTTTTATCACATGTTTACTTTTGTAGCTGCGTTGCTAGTGCAGTGATCTTTTATTAACAGTGGGGCAGCTTTCCAGCTGTCCTCATCGGCTCTGCACCACACGCAGCTCTCTCGTCAGGTCCCCGCATCTGACTGAAATAGGAAAGGCATGGGCAGGTCCGCCTCCCCCGACACCACACCCTGAACCCACTGCTCCACCCCTCCCCTGCAGCTGAGCCATAAACCACACCCCTCCACAATTAAATAAATAAGATATTGTTGGATATCTTAATGTCACATTAAAATTCAGAAAATCATATCATAAAAGAAAGTTCCTCTTTGATATGATGATAAACTAACTAAAATGATAAACTAAGCTTTGCACATGAACAACCCCCGTAAGTATAAAACTGTGACTATGCCAATAAAAGTCTACCTTTATTCATGCATTTGCATCAATAGACGAGCATTTCTATGGACAAAACACTTTCCTGTCCCAAAATTGAGTCACTACTTGATCTACAGCACATCTAATATTTCCATTTTCTTTAACAGTCTGTTTGGCAGCATGAGTGCAGCCTGACATGGAATCAATGCTGAGACACCATGAGACTCATAGCCTGAACACATAATCATATCAGTTGAGTATGTGCCAGTGAATTCAGTGTGTGTAAATTTAATACTTGATGTTTTGCAGGGAGAAAAAATCGTACTATACGCTGAAGGCCCAGGCTGTTGACGTTCATACAGGCATCCCTCTTGAGCCAGAGTCTGAGTTTATCATCAAGGTGCAGGATATTAATGACAATGAACCTCAGTTCCCAGATGGACCCTACAGCGCCAGCGTCCCAGAGATGTCCCCAACAGGTAAGACAGCTACAGGCTCGGATGCAGTAGGTGGATGAAGAATTTAGATAGCAGAACTCATAAAGATAAATGAAAGTGTACACTCCTTATCAAGGAAAATATATTTTAGGTATAAAAAAATACACAGTGCACAAAAATATATTAAAAATGAAACCAATTTTTTAGACAGGACAGTCTCTCGTAACAAGACCAGGTTTTCCCAGAAACTTTTCCAGTTATCTACATTGTGTTTTAGACACAACTGAGCCAGCCAGCAATCTAAGGAGATCTCCTTAGATTGCTGGCTGGCTCAGGTGCAGCTGAATATGTCACCCCTGGTCCGATAAGGTAGGGGATAGTGAATACTGTGAATGTAATTAGCAGGTGAAGTTTTTAAATCAACTGGCTCCACAGATAAGCTACACACTGTGGAACAGGAAGCAATACTCTGCTGCAGAGAGCAAACACCAAGTGACAGCGCCACTGTCTCTCTACTGTTTTCTTCTTCAGTGCCATGTGCCAAAACAATGCAGAGCGGTTACCTACTCCCACAGAGCTTAATAATTCTTCATCTTCCCTGCGTACCACTACTGTAGCGCCTCTGAAAAAGAAAGCCCGAAATCAGAAATTCTTGATTCCCTGGTGTAACCGTCAAACATGCACCTTAACACAGAAAACTTGTAAACTGGAGAGAAACTGGGATCTTATTTAGAAGATCATCATTTAGCCTGAAAAAAAACAGTTTGCTGCTCTACAGAAAAAAACTTCTGCAAAGCTAGAATGTTTTAGTATCCATCACTGATCGAAGAAAATAAGAACAACCCCAGGTTCCTCTTCAGCACTGTAGCAGGGCTCGCAAAAAGTCAGACCTCTGTTGAACCAAGCATTCATTTAACCTTATCTTGTAACAGTCTTCACAAATAAAATTTGAACCATTCATAACCATCTCACAGACTTAGATTTATGTTTAGCTACTTTCAGCACCATTGATATTCATTTAGACTCTTTTTCTCCATCTTTCTAAATTAACTTCAGTAATTACTTCCCCCAAACCATCATTGTGTCTTTTAGAACCCATTCTTATAAGACGTCCTAAAATTAATTACTTCTTCAGGCTATGATCAACCTATTTATCAGATTTTAGGTTTCAGAGCTCATCACAGCACAGAAACAGCTTTAGTGAAGGTTACAAATGATCTTCTTATGGCCTCTGACAGTGGACTCATCTCTGTGCTTGTCCTGCTAGACCTCAGTGCAGCGTTCGATACTGTCGACCATAATATCCTATTAGAGCGATTAGAACATGCTGTAGGTATTACAGGTACCGTGCTGCAGTGGTTTGTATCATATCTATCTAATAGACTCCAGTTTGTGCATGTAAATGGAGAGTCCTCTTCACACACTGAGGTTAATTATGGAGTTCCACAGGGCTCAGTGCTAGGACCAATTCTGTTTACATTATACATGCTTCCCTTAGGCAGCATCATTAGAAGACATAGCATACATTTACACCGCTATGCTGATGACACCCAGCTCTATCTGTGCATGAAGCCAGATAACACACACCAATGAGTTAAACTGCAGGAATGTCTTAAAGACATAAAGACCTGGATGGCTGCTAACTTTCTGCTTCTTAATTCAGATAAAACTGAGGTTATTGTACTCGGCCCTGAAAATCTAAGAAATATGGTCTCTAACCAGATTCTTACTCTGGATGGCATTACCTTGGCCTCCAGTAACGCTGTGAGGAACCTTGGAGTCATTTTTGACCAGGACATGTCCTTCAACACACATATTAAGCAAATATGTAAGACTGCTTTCTTAGGGTGTGTTTACAAGATCAAATTATCTGATCTTTCTTTTTTTGTTCTCCAAAGTCTTGGCATACATCCATCCATCCTCCATCCATCCATCCATCTATTTTCTTCTGCTTATCCGAACCAGGTCATGGGCAGCTTAACCCAGAAAATCCTCTGCTCCCCAGCCATCACATTCAGTATATCTGGGAGAACACTGGGGTGTTCCCAGGCCAACAGAGCGATATGATCTCTCCATTCCTATCCTGGGGCCTCGTGGAGACATGCCAAGAACACCTTAGCCAGAGGTCACCCAGAAGGCATCCTAGTCAGATGCTCAAACCAACTCTGGCTCCTTTTGATGTGGAGGAGTAGTGGCTCTACTTTGAGCCCATCTCAAATGACTACAATGGTATACTGTCCTCCTCACTGTACCCACGACCCCATCTTACAATCTCCCTGTAAAATTCCTCTAACAACTGGGGCAGCAACTCTACCCTGACCCTGGGAGGACACTTCACCCTTTTCCAGCTGAGGACCATGGCCTCAGACATGGAGATGCTAATTTTCAATCACGTCACTTCACTGCAAGCTGGAGGCCACAGCATGATGAAGCCTACAGGGCGCATCATCTGCAAAAAGCAGATATAACATTCTGAGGCTACCAAGTTGGAAGCCTTCCACCACTTGGTTGGATCCTGTCTGTAAAGATTATGAACCGAATCAGTGACAAAGGGCAGACCTTCCCAGGGAGGCTAAGGAGTGTTTAGATCTCCATGTGATGTTGCAGAAGTGTGTGAACCAGAACAGCCTTACAATATTCAGGAACTCGTGGCAAATGTCACCCACCCCTGGGGCCACCAAGGAATTACTGCATTATTGAACTACGTCAGTGAACTCAGTGATGGCAAAGTTGTGCCCATTTTTCCCACATTCTGTTTCCTTTACAGGAGAATTTTAAAAAAAAATGTCAGTATTGTCCTCTTACATATGGTGAACCTCAGTAGTGGTTCACTTCCACGGCCACAGACGCATAAAATCAAACAGGCTGCAAACATTTGTGAAATATTGGGTCATTCTCTGGAGCTCAGTGAATTCCAGCGAGGTACCATGATAGGATGCCATCTGTGCAACAAGTTAAGCTGTGAAATTTTATCACCACTTAATATTCCACAGTTAGTGATTAGTGGTATTATAACGATGTGGAAGAGAGTAGGAGTGACAACAGCTCAGCCACAAAGTGACAGGCCAAGTAAAGTCACAGAGCACGGTCAGCAGGTGTGTAGCACGCAGACGTCGCTGCTTTTCAGTTTCTAGAGAGAAACGTAATCTGTATTAACATAATCTGTGCAAACATGTTTGTGTTTGTTTAGGAACCTACGTGACACAGGTGACTGCCACAGATGCAGATGACCCCACGTATGGCAACAGTGCTCGCGTTGTCTACAGCATCCTTCACGGCCAGCCCTACTTCTCTGTGGACCCCAAAACAGGTGACAGGACAGCAGCTGGAACGTTTCTGTTACAAAGCAAGAATAATTGATACAGTTGTACTAACAGAACTCAGACGTCGCATGAATTCAGTTCACTTCATGATACCTCACGAGTTACTCCCCAGTCCTACCCCTGATAAAACAAGCACCACAAAGACAAGTTACCATGGAAACATGAGCTTTACGTTGTGACTGTTTCTATTGCAGGTCAATGTAAATATAGACCTGCAATAGAAACATAGGAGCACACATATAGTGAAAGAACAGCAGCTTTTGTTCCTGTAAAGACCTTTATTGGGAAAAAGCTGCCGGGCGTCCTTCATCAAACCGCACGTTAAACTCATTCAATTCAATTTCAATTCAATTTTATTTATATAGCGCCAAATCACAACAAAAGTCACCTCAAGGCGCTTCATAGGTACAGAGAAAAACCCAACAATCATATGACCCCCTATGAGCAAGCACTGATTCTAAATTCTAAAATAACACGTACCAGTTAAATTAAATTACAGGAGAGTCTTAAAGAGAAAAAGACATTTATACAGCATCAAATTGCAACATCAGTCGCCTCAAGGAGCTTTATACTGTAAGGTTGACCCTACAATAATACATCCAGAGAAAAACCCAACAATCATATGACCCCCTATGAGCAAGCACTTTGGCGACAGTGGGAAGGAAAAACTCCCTTTTAACAGGAAGAAACCTCTGGCAGAACCAGGCTCAGGGAGGGGCGGGGCCATCTGCTGTGATTGGTTGGGGTGAGAGAAGGAAGACAGGATAAAGACATGCTGTGGAAGAGAGACAGAGGTTAATAACAGATATGATTCAGTGCAGAGAGGTCTGTTAACACATAGTGAGTGAGAAAGGTGACTGGAAAGGAAAAACTCAATGCATCATGGGAATCCCCCGGCAGTCTACGTCTATTGCAGCATAACTAAGGGAGGATTCAGGGTCACCTGGTCCAGGTTAAACTCATGTGTGAAGAAAAGCAAACTTTGTAGCTGCTTCATCCACCACAGCAAACATCTACTGTAAAGAAACAGACATTATACACATGAACTGTTAACTTTAAATTAGATAGCTCACAAAATCACTCATAGCCAGCACTCTTCTTGCCTTCTATTAATTTAAGAAAGCCTTCCAAGTAGACAGAGTATTTGTATATATAATTATATATAATTTTATGTTTTGCCTTGTTTTAGATCAAAAGTCAAATATAATAAGGTATACAACCTTATTATATTATGTACGCACCTGCATGTAGGATGATGCTGAATAACCCAACAATAACGTTAATGAGTGTCCGGATCTTGAGTTTCACTGATTACTATGAAAGGATGAAAATGAGCACATACTCAAGCTTAGATGATTAATCATCTTCAGGCTGTTTAAATCAGAGTGCCATACATGTAGTCTTACTATTTACTGATCCTCTGGTCATGAAACATCTGAGCCTATCAGGTCACATCACACGCAGCCATGCTGGGTGGAGTCTAACATTTCTCTGATACAGGGCTTGCTTTGAACAGTGCACTGATGTCTTGATAGACCCTTTTAGTGGTACCTTGATGTTTAAGCTTGTAGTTTGTGGCCCAGCGCAGTGCAGCTTCTTTCTGTGGGAATACGGAGAAGCTGACCAGGATAGTGTGGGGGTTATGACCTTTCACTGGATCTGGAGGTCGGTCGGGGTTTGTTGGACTCTTTCCAGTTCAGATGACGTAGGGAAGACTGGGGCCCATTGCCTGCATTGATACCTCCAACATAAACTTTAGAGGGTCCCTGCCATGTTTGCTCCCTTCAAGAATGTTTAGTATACAGAGATTAACTCTCTGTGAGCGGTTTTCAAGGTCATCGTTCAGTGCAGGAGCAACTGGTTTTGGTCTTGTAATGGTGGATTTGGCTGCAGTCAACCATTCAAACTTTTCACCAGTTAGAGACGTCACTGTTGTTTGTAACTCGTCTGGGGATGCCTGTAGCAGTTTTATGGGGGAGGGGGATCACTTTTTCACACAGGGCCATTTTGGCTTTTTCCCCCCCTTAATAATAAACACCTTCATTTAGAAACTGCATTTTGTGTTTACTTGCATCATCTCTGTCTAATATTTACATTTTTTGTGACAAATATACAAAAAATATTCAAATGTGGGAAGCACTTAGATACACTGAGGCAAAATTAGGCATAGGCATACAGCGTGTGTAGACTAAAGCCAGATTCATCTTTGTCTTTCTTCTTTGTTATAGTGAGGTCTAAAATGTTAAATCAAATCCTTTCAGGTATAATTCGGACAGCTCTGGCCAACATGGACCGTGAGGTGAAAGAGGAATACCAGGTTCTTCTCCAGGCCAAGGATATGGGTGGTCAACTGGGGGGACTGGCCTCCACCACCATCATCAATATCACCCTGACTGATGTCAATGACAACCCTCCACGCTTCACTAAGAGTAACAAACTCTTAGCAATGTCTAATTTGCTCATTGTTTAAAAAAATCTACTCATTCATTCATTCAGTTACGTTGGACTAATAATAGTGTTTAATTGGTTGTCTCTTTTTACTGATCTTTCTTACTCTTTAAGGTATTTTTAATCTTCATGTACCAGAGTCAGCATCATTGGGTGCAGCTGTGGGACGAATTCAAGCCCAGGATTTGGATGTAGGCAGCAACGCACGGGTGGAGTATGCCATTGTTCCAGGAGATGAGGGCAACGTGTTTGACATCATCTGTAATGGTCAAAGTCAAGAAGGGATAATTGTTCTGAAAAAGGTCAATTCACCCTTTAGTGCACGTTAGTTGCTTTCTAAGTGCTTCCTGCTGCAAAGCATTGATCCATTCACACAGCACTTTATTTTATGTCTTCAAACTGATGATGGAAAGATTGTTTTATGCTGATGCAAAGTTCTTTAAATCATATGAATTAGGCTACGTTCACACTGCAGGTCTTAATGCTCAATTCTGATTTTTTGATCAAATCCAAATTTTTTTTGTCTGTTTTTCACACTACGAATAAAATGTGACAGCAAACGCGCTCCAGTGTGAACGGTTCACGGCCCTCAAAGCGTCACACGTGCGCAAAAGAAGACGTCACACACAACAGAAGTAAAAATGGCGGCTACAGAGCTAGTAGGTGTTGTTGAAGCAGTCGATCAATTTCTGCACAGTCGTAACCGACAGAATTTTGAAAAATTAATTAAAGAAAAGACACTGAGAAAAAAAAGAGCCTTTGCTTTAACAATGGCCGCCATGCTTTCTCGTTTGTCTTCTGATAATTGGCATCTGTCTTGTGTCAGTGACGTAAAAGACGGATTTAATGCGACGTGACCATCAAACAGCAGTCGCTTTCTACAACATCGAATATGTATCAGATTCAGTACCACATACGAAAGTGACCCAGGTCAGATTTGAAAATATTGGATTTGTGCCATGATCGAATAGATGGGTCGCATAGGGTCAAAAAGGTCGGATTTGATGCGCTTTCGCCTGCAGTGTGAACGTAGCCTGAGACTGCTTCACAGCCACATTGTTAAATGTGGTTCATAGTTCTAAATGTGTTAAATTGTCAGTGAGAACAGAGAAACACTAACTGACTGTCTGGTCCATTGTAATTGCTGTCACTGGGGTAATACCATGTAAGGGACTATTGTACTTTGTACTGTATTCATTCCTTCATACTTTGTGCTCTGGTGACAATTTTGTTATTTTGTTGAATAAAAGACACATTTGGCTGACACGAGTATTTGACCAGGACTACACAGTGATGAGTGCAGGACAAACTCTCTGACTTTCCTGTGAGAGATAAAGACATGGATGTGTACATGAAATGGATTGAAAACATTAGATAGAAAGCAATTATATGTAACCCCTGACTCACTCTAAATAGTTTAGAACAGCCAAAACTACAGACTAGGTTTAGCAGGATTACAATAGGAAATGAGGTGACCGTGGAGTGAAATGGCTGGAGACAGGAAATGAGCAACAATGGTTATTATTTTGTACAGAATTGAAAATTAAATGGCCTGTATTTGTATAGCACTTTACTAGTCCCTAAGTAGCCACCCTGGGGCGCACTGACAGAGGCGAGGCTGTTGGACACTGGCGCCACCGGGCCCTCTGACCACCACCAGTAGGCAACGGGTGAAGTGTCTCGCCCAAGGACACAACGACCGAGACTGTCCAAGCCGGGGCTTAAACCGGCAACCTTCCGATTACAAGGCGAACTCCCAACTCTTGAGCCACGATCGCCCCAGTAAATCAGACACAAATTCCACAATAACAGCAGTAATAGTAATGATAAGCCGGCATAACAAAAATAACCTACTGAGCTCAATATTTCAATTTCTGGTCATTTGTCAGGTCTGGATTCCTTATTAGTCTAGTCAGGGTTTCTTACTAGTCTAGTTCTTTTTTCCTTGGTTTTGTGGTTTGTGTGTTACCACTTTTATGCCTCTCTTGAGGGAGAGATTAGTTTAGTCTGGGCACAGGCTCGCTACCTCTATCCGGAGAGAATCCAAAATCTTAGTTGCTTTATCACACGAACAGAACACCTAGCCAAAATGACAGAAAATTCCGCACAGACCATCCGAAGCCTGTCTCGTCTACCTTCCACGTGTGAAAAACCAAGCTCGTGTGTAATGGTGGTCCGGTGCTTGGAAGGCGGGACTGAAACCGCTTCCAACAAATGAAATGGCCATTACCCAATGTGATCCGTAAAAAGAAAAATAAAGTTTGATAGAGGATCACACTTCTTTCAAAATAAATTTGTCTTTTCAAAATAAGAGAGTGGAAATACATTTATACAAATAAAGAGAAAGCAAGAAAGAATAACAACAAAAGCTACTGGGTTACATACACTTGTGTGTAAAGTGGTTAAGTAGAGCAGAGAAGTGCTAGTGTATATAAGAACCAGTCAATTTATCATAGTTGTCATTACCTGGATCTATAGTACCATTAGAAACCTTGAAGTTGTTTTGTGTCTAAGACTGCATTTTTGATCTGCATAATATTGCTAAAATTAAAAACATGGTGTCTAAGAGTGATATTGAAAAAATTGTTCATGCATTTATGGATGGAACCATTTTGATTCCCTTTTAAATAATCCTAAGTCCTAAAAGCTATCTGTAAGCTCTTCACATTGTGTTCATTGTATTTATTCCACAACCAGTCAAGGCAGGTGTTCATAAAAAACAACTACCCTCTCAGATGCATCATTTCTAATTTGGTTTCTTTGACTTCGTCTACGCCTCCATTTCTTTATCTCTCACAGGAAATGTCAGAGCGCTTGTGTTCGGCTCTTTTTCAAGGGGAGGTAACATAAATGAGCCCAGAGACGAGGGGGGGCAGATTAAAAAAACACAAGGTTTATTACCACAACTGAAAACACATAGTGAAACGACTCACTAGGCACTGAGGCAATTCAAACAAAGAAACAACTCTCAAATTTTCAAATAACACAAGAACACTAATAGAACACGAGTCATCTCAAAGGCCACAACTCAAAAAACAGAGGCTCAAAAGGCAGCAGCACAAAGGCAGAGGCAGGAGGGACAGCCTACGTCTGTTCAAGAGAGTCGAACATGAGTGAAGAATCCTCAGCCTTTTGTACTCCCAGGTAAACGCAGGCAGCCGCAGCAGCCAACGGTGTGTGTGGACTGGTCAAATACTCGTGTCAGCCAAAAGCGTTTCTCTATTCTCACTGACAATTTAAAGCATTTAGAACTATGAACCACGTTTGGTAAATGAATTGATTTTTATATAGCCCTTTTCTATTCTCCCGGAGTACTCAAAGCGCTGTATAGCCTCATTTACACCCACTTCTAAACTCAAGTGTAAACTAACCAACATTCACACTCTGATGGATGCATCGGAGAGCAACTTGGGGTTAGTAAGGATATTTGGCATGCAGACTGGGGAAGCCAAGGATCGAACCTCCAACCTTCCAATCAGTAGCTGATCTGCTCTACTACCTGGCCAAGGTCTTTCTGTGTGGAGCCTGAATGTGATGCCTGCGGTTGTTTGGGCTCTCTCCCAGTACTTTGGCTTCCTTCCACAATCCAAAGATATGCAGTTAGTGGGTTTTGGCTAATTAGTGGTTCTAAATTCTAAAATAACATGTACCAGTTAAATTAAATTACAGGAGAGTCTTAAAGAGAAAAAGACATTTATACAGCATCAAATCGCAACATCAGTCGCCTCAAGGAGCTTTATACTGTAAGGTCGACCCTACAATAATACATCCAGAGAAAAACTCAACAATCATGTGACCCCCTATGAACAAGCACTTTGGCGACAGTGGAAAGGAAAAACTCCCTTTTAACAGGAAGAAACCTCTGGCAGAACCAGGATCAGGGAGGGGCGGGGCCATCTACTGTGATTGGTTGGGGTGAGAGAAGGAAGACAGGATAAAGACATGCTGTGGAAGAGAGACAGAGGTTAATAACAGATATGATTCAATGCAGAGAGGTCTGTTAACACATAGTGAGTGAAGAAGAAACACTCAATGCATCATGGGAATCCCCCAGCAGCCTACAGCTGTTGCAGCATCACTAAGGGAGGATTCAGGGTCACCTGGTCCAGCCCAATAAGTCTCTTGATGGGGGGGGGGCATTTTTCTGTCCTGTACAATGAGATGATAAACATGTCAGCCGACTGACTAATTCTACATATACTGTGGTTTAAAATACAGGAATTTGATTGGACTGTTAAATTCAAATTTTAAAGATAAATGCCAGAGATTTTCACTCGTCTTTGATGCCATCAAAATGAAGTTCAGTGCTCCCATATTTGAGCACACGTAATAAAAAACTTCACATTGCAAAAGGGAAGTAAAAACATTTTCTTAATGGCATATAGTTTCATTTTACAACACAATTACTGTGAAATAAAGCATGCAGAATATCTTTTAAACAATCACAGTCACATACATGAATAAAATGTCATTTTTATTTAACTTTCACACTGGATTGATATTTTTTTTTGTGATCAACATTTTATTGATTTAAAACGGGGTTGGGGGGGGGGGTACAGACATATACAGTACAACTGTAAACTGCAGTAGCAAAGCAAACATTAGCAAACAACACAAAGTTAAAACCAATTATTGCCTCTTCCAGGAGATAACTCTGGATGAGAAGGTTTTCCAAGCGTCAACAGTCGTGGGTCGAGCTTTATTTAATTTTGCTGTGGTATGTTCAAAACCAATAACACGGATAAGACATCGTCTTCAGAATGATTCCATACAAATGTCAGGACAGAAGCATTGCTTTGTAATAGTCTTCTTTGCGCTGGATTGATATTTTTGTTTGGACCGCAAAAACAAAAATTTCCGTAGTTATCTTTTTAAAAAGTTCCCAGATGGTCCTAAAATTATACTTCAGAAAGTATTTTAGTTAAAATCACTGTAGACGGCCTGTGGGCGTCCTCTCGCTGCAGACATGAGGTAATATAAGGATTGCTCTGAATTTTTTGCTTCATCTCAGTGGATTTCTTCCCATGTTTTCCAGACTCTTGACTATGAAACCCAAGCGTCCTATACTTTCAAGGTGGAAGCATTTAATGCAGAGCTAGATCCCCGTTTCCTCCATCTGGGGCCCTTCAAGGACTCTGTGACAGTCGAAATTAACGTACTGGATGTGGACGAGCCTCCTGTCTTCACCACGCCTTACTATTCTTTGGACGTGTACGAGGACACTCCCCCAGGAACCATCATTGGCTCAGTGACCGCTTATGACCTGGATGCTAGTAGCAGTGCTGTCAGGTGGAAAGCGCTTCACAGATCTGTGGAATTATGTCAACAGACTGTTTATTTTTTTAAGTATTGTTAACAGTATTATTCATTTCCTGGAAGGCTGGAAATTGTAACGATGTTGTTCTACATCATAGTTTGAATTGGATTCTTGTTCACCAAGTAACAGTTTAACCAATTAAGAGAGTTAATTTGTTAAATAATCAAATATGATTCCATATAAAAAGCACGTTAAGAACTCTGAAGTGAAACTATTGATTAATTACCACGAACTGACAGATCACTGCAGACGCATAACTTTCAGGCAGAAAAAGCTTTTAAAACCAGTCAGTAATATTTTTAAAAGTTCTTTTTTATTTGACTGATGAATTTATACATGCAATTAGTTTTTATGTCTGGTTGACCAAATTAAATTTCTATAAAAATGTAAAATGAAGTTAAAGTCCATGGACTGTCTGATGTGTGCAGGTATTCTCTGGAGTGGCAGACTGGCTCTGACAGCTTTTTTGACATTGAGACGGTGGAAGGAATCATATCCACTAATGAATACTTGGACAGAGAGACAGCTGTTCAGCACAATATCACTGTGGTGGCAACCAAACTTAGTAAGTATTCCACACCAATAACTACACACAACCACCAACAGTATACTTGTGTGTCAGAAACTGTACAGACACTAACTGTGCAAACAGGTCATCTCATAACCATCTCATCAACTAAACAAATGTTAGTTAGAAATTCCAACATAAATGTTGAGTGATAAGTTATCAATGGGAGAAAACTCGTATAAGAAAAGTGTTCTTATCAGGGGGCACACTATTCACCAAGACTGCATTTTCTTATATAGAAAATCCTGCTTTGCGAGGACCCAGGAGTCGATTTAGAATGAGGGATTTAGTATAATATACAAATTTAATTTACTTTTCAGACCCCACAAACGTAAAAAACATGAATCCTTCCTTTTTTCTTTTTTCAAAGCTTGTTCTTAGCACTGCTGCCTCACAGCTATAAGGTCCCAGGTTTAAATCCACCATCGGGACGTTTAATGTATCGTCTGCATGTTCTCCGTGTGGCTGCATGGGTTCACTTTGACTCTGCACTCCAAAGACATGCAGTTAGTGGAGATGGGTTCATTGGTTATTCTAGATTCTTGGTATTTCTCACTGAGTTAGCCCTGCAACAGAAATGTACCAATAATTGTTTCTTCTAGCCAATAAGTGTTTTGCGTGTTATATATTTGTCTTCACTGTATTAAGTGACAAGAAACAAATGCAGTGTGAACAAAACAGAACACTATCCCCTCACGATTCACACTTTACATACAGTGATGTGGGAAAAGGGTTCCTCATTTTCTCTTTTTGTGTATTTTTGTATAGAACCGGACCATCGAAAACATCCATAAATTACTACTTATTAAAAACCGCAGTCATCACAGCTTATAAAAATCACTGTCATGTATTGAAAAAAATAAGATCATGTAGAAACTAGAACATAACACTGAGAACAAGTTCATGATTCAGTCCTTTAGATGACAGCGTCTGTAAGGTGAATACCCAGAATGCCTCTCTTCAATGATAAGTCATGGTTTCCACTGTTGGAGGCACTGGAACATGTTCAATGGCACAAAACTGTGATGATGCTGCATCATGTTTCATATCATTAAAGTGGGCTGCTACTCGATAATCTTCATCAAATCAGTGAATAGCTTTTCGATGTTTGCCTTTTCTCTGCGGTTCCCTGTGCTGTTGCACATATATGCAACATTGTGATTCATGCAGAGTTACTTGATTAGAGTTGAGTAAAAAATGTGGAGCTGGAAGTAAAGAAACGTTTGCAGGACACGCCCACAATTGTTACCTAATGTATTCTTTGCAGGTGACCTACTCAAAAATCAGAGCCAAGCTAATGGTAGTTTGAAGCCCACAGGATGTTCGGGTCACACTGGCTGTGATGAATATATTTGGCTGTCACACTAATTATACACGGCTTCATGCTGACCCTCACAGATAATCCTTCGCTGTCTGCAGAAGTGTTAGTGAAGGTCAACGTCCTGGATGTGAATGAGTTCCCTCCTCAGCTCACTGCTCCTTCAGATACATTCGTCTGTGAGAACTCCAGAGCTGGACAGGTATGCTGAGCTACAGCACATACAAAGATCTTCATCACAGGTATTTGTTAAATACATTAACTGGGCAATAGTCAAGGATTTCCATAGCTCAGCCATGGAAATCCTTGACATGAAGCTCCCCATGCAGTGTTTGTGCTGATGTTGGTGTAAGAGGAGGTTTGGAACTGAGCACCGGCTTCAGCACTCAGCAACCTTGTCCTGTAACTACGTGATGACAACAATTGTTTTTACTCAACTGAGAATATTTCTGTTTCGTGGGGGTAGTGTGAGGTTGTCATCGGGAGTAGGTGTGCACTGCATCAGCACAGACTAAACCCGTGTGGTGAATCCAGATATTTTCAGTTCACAAGTTGTTCTGTGTTTTTCTTGAGTGTGTTTAGCACACAATCTTCCTGTTTTGCTGAGCAGGTGATCCAGACAGTTGGCGCTGTGGACGAGGACCAGCCCCCTGTAGGCCAGAGGTTCTTCTTCAAGTCCTCCAAGGAGCTCCGAAACAGAAACTTCACTGTTAGAGATTATGGAAGTAAGTCAAAGAGTAGCGGCTACTAAAGAGTAACTACAGCTTTTGTGTTGTGTGGGAGATGCACATGCATCTCTGAGATCAACCATAAACAGAGTTTTTCCCATTTGTAGTGCTCTTTGTACCTGTGACATGTTTATGGTGCAGAGAGTCTTCAGTCAGATATATCAGCGATGATACACTTCTCCTTGCAAACAGTAGGACTCAGGGTACCTTATCAAGCAGATGGCTCATGTCCAGTGTGACCGTGTCAGAATTTTTATTGACTGAGCTGCTGATTTATAAACATTTTGATACATGGAGGCTGTGAAAGGCTCCGTCTCACCTGGGAGGGTTAGACCCACCCAGGTGAGTGTGGGCGGTTTGGTGGGGATGAAATGCACGAGCTGCTCCACCGCCGGGAGTTCAGCGAGCCCCAAAATTTTACCGTCAGCGATCTCCAGACCAGAGTAAGACTTGATGGAAACTCTGTGGTGAAAGGTTTTATCCCAGTAACCCCTCATTTCCTGCATACATGCCACGACAGCAGGAATCAGCCGCTTGGTGGAGGACTGGAGAGTGTCTGACAAGCAGGCAATATTTTCCTGTCAGACAGATCCCTCTCCTCCCCCCTGTCATTCTGCGCTGCAGGCCGTCTAATGGACAGCGTGGCTGCTGCACGATTACCTATTGTCACGGTCTGCAGAGGCAGGTCGTGCGGTGGTGTGTGCAATGGACCCAGGAGCGTACACAAGTGAGTAGACGGGAGTGAGTTTAACAGAAAGCGAGCCTTTAATATGACTGAAGACCAGGAATACAAACACAGCAGGAACAGAAAACAAAAAGGAAAGCACGGCTCAGTTCAGGGGGCCGGCCGTGCACAAGGCAACGGCGACGACGTGGAAACAGTTCAGGGGCCGGCCGTGCTCAAGGCAACGGCGGCGACGAAGGAGACGACGGAGCAGTTCAGGAGGCCGGCCGCGCGGAAGGCGGCGGCGGCGAAGGAGACGGAGCAGTTCAGGAGGCCGGCCGTGCACAAGGCAACGGCGACAACGTGGAAACAGTTCAGGGGGCCGGCCGTGCTCAAGGCAACGGCGGCGACGAAGGAGACGACGGAGCAGTTCAGGAGGCCGGCCGCGCGGAAGGCAGCGGCGGCGGCGGCGAAGGAGACGACGGAGCAGTTCAGGAGGCCGGCCGCGCGGAAGGCAGCGGCGGCTCTCCAGTGTTAGGCGTGCTGGCCATGGCCCGGTGGGCACAGGACCAGACGAGGCAGGACCAGACGAGGCTGGGCCAGACGAGGACGAAGACTCTGAGGCTGGGCCAGACGAGGACGAAGACTCTGAGGCTGGGCCAGACGAGGACGATGACTCTGAGGCTGGGCCAGACGAGGACGAAGACTCTGAGGCTGGGCCAGACGAGGACGAAGACTCTGAGGCTGGGCCAGGCGAAGATGAGGCTGAAGCCGGAGTCGAAGCTGGACCAGGCGACGGTGAAGCAGGAGGTGGCTGGACGGGCTCCTCGGGCCCTCCAGCTGACGTGGCATGGTGCTGGACGGGCTCCTCGGGTCCCCCAGCTGATGTGGCATGGTGCTGGACGGGCTCCTCGGGCCCTCCAGCTGACGTGGCATGGTGCTGGACGGGCTCCTCGGGCCCTCCAGCTGACGTGGCATGCGGCTGAACGGGCCCCTCGGACCCTCCAGCGGAGACAGGCGGCTGAACGGGCCCCTTGGACCCTCCAGCGGAGGGTGGCGGCTGAACGGGCCCCTCGGACCCTCCAGTGGAGACAGGCGGCTGAACGGGCCCCTCGGACCCTCCAGCGGAGACAGGCGGCTGAACGGGCCCCTCGGACCCTCCAGCTGACGTGGCGTGGGACTGGACGGGCTCCTCGGGCCCCCAGCTGACGTGGCATGAGGCTGAACGGGCCCCTCGGACCCTCCAGCGGAGACGGGAGGCTGAACGGGCCCCTCGGACCCTCCAGCGGAGACGGGAGGCTGAACGGGCCCCTCGGACCATCCAGCTGACGTGGCATCTGAGGAGGCCCTGGGGAGAGTCTTAAGCTCAGAAGCGACTGGTGAGGCAGCACATAGAACACTGTTAGCATGACAAGCTTTGAAAACATAATTTCTCAGGTCATGAACACTTTCGGTAACTCGAGTAGTAGATGCCAACTCCCTGTCGGTATTGTCAACACAATAGTTCATGGTAGGATTGCACATAAGTCCGTAGCTGGATTCAGAGTCACATAAAGAGGCAGGCATGCTTATGGCTGGCCTAACAGTCTGCGACTGAGAAGCAGTAGCATCAGAGCTCACGTTCCTGTGCATTTGGTCTTGAGCACTGTCTGCAATCCCACCATCAGGGAATACGGTACTAGACTCCACTACGATCTGCACGCGGGGGTAACACTCCATCTCGGCTGTACGAGTTGGCTGCGGTAGATAACAGTCTGAGGCGGAGAGAAAGCTCACGCCATTCCTAGCAGGCTCAGAAGCAGACTGTACAGTCGACGTGTGAATCCCTTTCGCTGTCTCATGAACCTTTGCTCCATGTGGTGCGGCTATGGGAGCAACACTAGAAAAAGTCCTGGATTCTACAGGGTCAAGAACGTTGTCTGTGATTTCGTTGTGTGGTTTTTCAAAACAGTTACACACAGTCCTTTCATTATCACAACACTGCTCTGACTGGCCCTCATTCGTAACTAGAGTTAGGTCAGTCACAGCATGGGTGTCTATGAAATCATGATTAATGGTAGAGCAGTCTTTGGCACCAGTTTCTTCATAGCTGGGCCCACAAAAGGGCAACCCAGTACATTCCACTATATCAGGTTCATGAGATGAAAAAGCACAGTCACTCACCTCCGTTATAAGAGGAGTCTGGGGCAAAACTAGGACGGGTGCTGACTGGACAGCTGCTGCCCCCACCTCTTCAGAGACTTCAGCACAGTACAAACAGTCTGTAGTTGCTCCTTGAGGAAAGCTAGGCAGTCTCTCTTCAGACTCGGTAGATGGTTCACGCAAAGTTTCAAACCTGGCATGAGGTGGCTTGGTAATCGTTAAATTGTCAGAGGTAATAGGATTTAATTCTTGATCACCCACACAACTAGGACTGCTCGCTAAGGATGTCAACACATTAAATCGAAAGTCGTCTGATACAGAATACTTTGAGTCTGACCCCTTACTCCCAGCATCTTTCATTATTCCAGAAAAACCCACCGATTGCAGGCTTACTGTGTGAGACGTAACGTCCTCATCACTAGTTACCTCAGAAAATCCCTTTGACTTGAGGTCTTTGGCTAAGGGGCTAGATACGACGTCAGAAACTGAGTCAGGGGTACTCACGGCTGGATGGCTGATGGGAGTTAAAGCCTCAGATGGCATTAACTGAGGGACCTCCTTAGGGTGGGGCTCAGAGCGCCGGCGGCGAGAGTGCCGCTTCTTTCTATCCATGGAAGCGGGCGGGGTGAGCGGTGGAAGTCCCTGGCAACTCCGGGGACCCCAAGAGCCAGTCGAGTTCCCCGGAAAGAGCGCTCTTCACGATCAGGGGCGAGCCACGGCCTCCAACCACATCCGTGCCAGAAAGACAGCAGGAGACGAGTAGTCCGATCGAGGCGGCGAGGGCGGGCGGCAGGTGCGAGGCGAGGCGGTTGGCGAGAACTCCTCCTCGGGGATGAGCCAGGGCTTCCAACGGAGCTCGTCCTCGCGATACGCCTGTAATACCTGTTGCCGCTCCTCCTCGCCGAAGTCAATAGCAGCTGGCATCTCCTTGATCCGCGTAGTGCAGTCAGGCGGTGACGAGGATGTGGAAGCCGATGGAGCGTGAGCCGAGGGTGTGGCGGCGGTGAGCCTCACCGTACCGACTCTGACGGCTTCTGGCTCACAAGGCAGCGGGGAAACTGAGCTACCGCATGACTCTGGCGACGGCTCACGCACACAGGACCGCTGCAGTTGCGGGCGGAGTTGGAGAGAGGAAACGAGAAAGTCAATGACGAGGGGATGCAGCGCCTCCCATAACCAAGGGAATACGGACACGCATACCACTACTTGGCGGGCTAACTCGTTCCGTTCCTCCTCTCTGGAGCACCGCAACCACTTGCCGCATAGCGACTCCACTGTCCGGATGATCTCCCGTTCTTGTGTCGCTGGGTCCGGCATGGTCGCGTCGTACTGTCACGGTCTGCAGAGGCAGGTCGTGCGGTGGTGTGTGTAATGGACCCAGGAGCGTACACAAGTGAGTAGACGGGAGTGAGTTTAACAGAAAGCGAGCCTTTAATATGACTGAAGACCAGGAATACAAACACAGCAGGGATAGCGTGGCTAAACTATAACTAAACTGGGAAAACTAATACTGTGACAAACTAAGAGAACTCTGAGACGAAGATGATCACAAAAGACTGATCGTGAAAACATGGGGGTGAGAACACAGACGACGCGACACAGACTACATGAAACACAGAGACTAAATACACAAGAGGGATGATCAGGGGAAGTGGCCACACATGGGAACACAGCTGACACAGATAAACATAACAAGACATGGCAGGAGTAAACAACACTGACGGGAGACTGTCAAAGTAAAACAGGAAGTACACAGGTGCAAACAGGAGGAGAGAGAGAGCGCGGGCATAGTGGGCTGGGGAAACATGGAATGAAACAAGTAGGGGAGATGAGGGCTCACAGATACATAGAGGGGCACACAGGGGATAAAAGTCACAAGGGGAAGTCAAATAAGGAACAACACAACAGGACAACTTAGGAAACATGGCCTAAATAAGGAATGAAATACAAAAATACAAGAAACTAAGAATACTGGGCCCACATGGCCCAGGACCATGACACCTATCTCATGTAAATCGACCTCAGTTTCCCCACCGGTGGAGCTGCCAGGCTGCGATGCCTGGGTAGAAGGCAGAACGGCATTAACTTTGTCCTGCTTGTTTTCATCTCCAAGGATATCCATATTAACATCCTCTTCCTCATCTTAATTCTTTTTTTCCAGTTCAAGAGGTTTTCTCCTCTCTTCAACCAGATATTTAAAGTCAAGGGGCAGATTGAAGAGAGGAGTAAACTCCGCCTCCAGGTCCTTGACCATTTCCCCCTAGCAAGCAGTGGCTTTGCCGAATTTGCCACTGGGATTTTCCTACATCGATGGGAAAGGAAAGAATCGATTTTTGGGCCCACCACCACTCGCAAACACCACTCCCACTCCTGGAAAAGGAGGGACCCTGTGTCTGTGAAGTGATTGGTCTGTCTTGGACAGGCATGGTGGTAGTTGAGCTTCTGTGATTGTTCACGCCAGAGGGCACTTCCCCCTTAGTGAGATACCAGTGTGGTTTGGAACAAAACGCGTGTCAACCGAAATAACACTTTAATGTCTAAATATGTCTGTGAAGGTTCTCAGTCATCCAGGTCATCGTAGTCTAAGGAGCTTGGAAAAAAAAGCGTCTGGACTTCTTTGAGTTGCTTGAAGACGTTTCACCTCTCATCCAAGAAGCTTCTTCAGTTCCCTGAACATGTTCCCTCTAAGCCTGAAGGGAGAAAGAAGGAACACACACATGTAAAGGAAGCACTCAAAACATGTAGTTATCCTAACTGAGAGTTTATAAAGTCAGCAAAGAGGCACAGAAAAGAAGACCAGACACCAGCGAGGGAGAATAAGAAAGACAGACCCAACAACATTGTCATCCCCTATGTAGCCGGTGTATCAGAGAAACTCAGGAGTTTTCGCCAAGCACGACATCCCGGTGTACTTCAGACCCAGCAACACGCTCAGACAGAAACTGGTTCACCCGAAAGACAAAACTCCAAAACACAAACTTAACAATGTGGTGTATGCTGTACAGTGCAGCGAGGAATGCCCAGACCTCTACATCGGAGAGACCAAACAGGGTGGGGCCAGGTTTCACAATGAGCTCACCTGAAATCCTGCCTGATTGGGACCCACACCCATTTTCACACCTTAGCTCATGTGATCATCAGGGGGTCCTTTGTCCCTCTTTGGGGGGAAAGTCCCACTGCGTTTTAAATCTGGGACTCTCCACCATTTGACTCTTAGAACTGAAGAAGCTTCTTTAATGTCTAAAAATAAAACTTGTGTTACAGAAATACAGTGTGTCAAATCATGGGCCCTGTGAATAATGGTGCATGAGACCACATTGAAACTGATGTTAAGGACAGTAGCCCCGTCTCACAGGAAAACATGCCTGTCCACCGTGTGCCTCTTCAAAGTGTGAAGTGGACACACATACAGAAGTTGCGTTACTTCAAATTATATTACCAACTTGTATAAAAGGCAAGAAGTTGGTAATGAGCAAAAAAACATATGAACTACATTCCAGAGTCTGTAATCACCAGAAGGATTAAAATTGACGGCTAATATGTATTTACATTAAAAATGTATGAATAATATCAGTTGTAATGCTGTCCTGTGATTATTTAATGTTGCCTTGAAATCACAAATCTCCATCTGCTGTTACTGCTGCGTACTGTTACTTATTGTAAATTCTGCATGTCGACCAGCATGCAGTATAACAGTATAACATTTTATCTACTGTCTGTATAAATGCTAAATGATACCAGAGGTCCCAGTTGTCCCTCTGGTCCCTCTTATGCTTTGCTTTTAGGACTAATTTAAGCCAAACTGCCAACTTACGTGTTTCATTTCAATGAAAGCAAGCCTGAGAGTGTTTATACCTGGCTTACATACCAATTATTACCTGACCAGTCCAATTATTAATTAGCAGTAATTATTATGTTACTATGCATGATGTTGTACATAGTTGTTGTATGTAATGTAATAATAACGCAGCATCCCTGTTGATCTTACAGACAACACTGCTGGGATTGTGACTCGACATTCAGCTTTCCAGCGGCGGCTGCAGGATGTCTACATCCTTCCTGTTGTAGTTGAGGACAGCGGTTACCCCGCTCAGAGCAGCACAGCTACCCTGACCATCAGAGTGTGTTCCTGTGAGACTGTGGGCTCACCTCTGACCTGCTCACCAGTGGCCATGTTCCTGCCCGCTGAGCTCAGTGCTCAAGCTTTGTTGGCTATTCTTCTGAGCATTGCTCTGCTGATTGGTAAGCTAGTCTCGCTATAATGTTGTGTCATGTATAAACACTCAAACTCTGGGGTTAGCACTGCAAACTGCAGTCTTATGTGCAGTGTGTTCTGACTGAATTTTACTTTTTGCACTGTTGACATTAGGTAGCCTAAAAATCTTTCTTAATGTTGTTTAATGAAGAAAATCATTCTTGGCACAACAGACCAGTTAATATTTTATTAACCTCCCACCAGGTCACAAGCAAATCAATTTATGTATTTATTTTTTGTTATAAACATTCTGTTTATATTGGACATACAGGTGAAAATACAATGTGCAAATTCCATATGAATATAAGGAGCTCTAAGGTTTTGAGCTTGATGATGACAAACTGATGCTGAACCTGAGCATATTACTCTGGTTCTCAGCCTGTTCAGGTAATCTGATGTTTTAAATTAGGGCTGATAATAAACCTGAAGTAGATAAATGAATAAATAAAGAACTTCATCACTTTTACTGCGTACACAGAACTGGATGGCTTTGAATACAATGTTGCTTTTACAAGACTGTTATTGAAAAGCAAAGAAACATTGTTTAGAAAACCTGCAGGATGTGGAAGAGTTTTGATGTAATGATGGATGGAGGGCTGCAGTGATCCATACAGGACACACAGCATGAAGGTGTGAGGGACCACACGACAGAGAGCAAGGGGCGACTCGAACAATATATACTTACCAGAATTCAATTCAATTCAATTTTATTTATATAGCGCCAAATCACAACAAAAGTCGCCTCAAGGCACTTCATAGATACAGAGAAAACCCCAACAATCATATGACCCCCTATGAGCAGCACTTTGGCGACAGTGGGAAGAAAAAACTCCCTTTTAACAGGAAGAAACCTCCGACAGAACCAGACTCAGGGAAGACAGGATAAAGACATGCTGTGGAAGAGAGACAGAGGTTAATAACAGATATGATTCAATGCAGAGAGGTCTGTTAACACACAGTGAGTGAAGAAGAAACACCCAGTGCATCATGGGAATCCCCCAGCAGCCTACGTCTATTGCATCATAACTAAGGGAGGATTCAGGGTCACCTGGTCCAGCCCTAACTATATGCTTTAGCAAAAAGGAAAGTTTGAAGCCTAATCTTGAAAGTAGAGATAGTGTCTGTCTCCTGAATCCAAACTGGAAAGAATAACAACAAAAGATGCAAAGGGTGGGATACAGCTGGAAACTATAACATGATGAGACACGCAATAAACACACCACTAGTCTGAACAAGGAACCATGGTTAGTTTAACAGGAGGACCAGACAGGACAGCACAGAGAGACGGATGAGATCGGGGACACAAGAGAACAAATCAGGGAAAATGAGACACAAAGGCACAGAGGGACGATAACCACAGGAAACACCAGATCGAAGGTCCGTGAACAAACACAAGACTTACTTCACACACGAGACTAAAGGACAAAACACAGAGACCAAGATAAACAACAATAGGAGGCATGAATACAACAGGACACAAGCAATAAACTGAAACTAGATACAATACAGTAAACGACTCAATAAATGCAGAAAAATGACAAAACACTGGGTGGATGACCCCTTATGGTGCCTGTCTTGCCCATCCTGGTGTTTGAACCTCAGTGGGGTATACTGCATTGCAACACGTTCCTAAAGTATTGTCCAAACATTGATCTAAAATCCAGCAGATTTGATTGCACCATGTAATGTTTTATACATTTATATTTTTAAGGATCATGTATGTGTGGTCACCATGGTAACCAGTGCTTCTCTCTGTTTTCTGCCTTGCAGGTATGTCAGTGTTATACATGAGTCAGAGGCCCCAGAAAGTGAAAGACACGCTGATGAGATCAAAAGAAGACATCCGTGATAATGTCATTCACTATGACGACGAGGGAGGTGGCGAGGCTGACACTGACGCGTTTCACATGGGCACCTTGTGCAAAACAGACCACAGCAGCATCTCCAACAAGAAGAAAAATGGCTATGGCGACGGCATTCTGATGCATCTCAGCACCCACTGTGACAATGTCAGGTCACCTGACATCCATCTGCAAACAGCCAGCTTCATCGCCACCGGGAACAAGCCTCCACTCTTCTGCCGCGGCAGGGCGACCCAAGGCGATGCTGAATTGATCAGAGAGGTCATTGAACACCGACTGAAGGAGAGCCAGCAGGGGTACGCGGCCCTACCTGCTGATTCACTGGCAACCTACGCATACGAGGGGGATGGCTCAGAGGCGCGTTCTCTCTCATCCATAGAGGACTCTTTTGTACTTGACAGTTTAGGGGATTTTAGCTCGCTTGGCGACTGGGGGCAGCCATTTAAAACACTGGCTAGCATCCTTGACAAGCAGCCACCGTCTCTCTTTAACGAGAGCTGAGAGGAAATTGAACTGAATATTAGTTCAGTTAGGCCAAATATTATTGAACATGTCACTTGTCAATGTATTTCTAAAGGTGCTGCTGACGTTTTCATACAAAAGGTGTCTTGAAGCTGTGATCTCAACAGAGGCTTGTTGTTACATTTCAGTAAGTAGTTTTTTTCCCCATGTCATTTTCTCATTATTACATCTGTTTCTCTGCATGTGTGGACTGGATGGGTTGTTGCTGCAATCTGGTGGGAATTTCAAGTCAACGGCACCTTGAGAAATATATTTAGTTAAACAATTGGTGATGTGTGTGTATGTGTGCATAATATTCAACCATCCAGTTTCTTCCACTTATCTGGGGCCTCAGCCCCAGCAGAGAAGCCCAGACCTCCCTCTCTCCAGCAACTTCTTCTAGCGTGTCCAGGGGAACACCAGGGTGTTCCCAGATCAGCTGAGAACAATGATCTCTCCAGCGTTTCCTGGCTCTTCCCTGTGGGACATGCCTGCAAACCTCAATAAGGAGGCGTCAGATGCCTGAAATATACATTTTTAAACGTGACAGACACTAGAACGATGTAAGAATTGTCAGAATGATAAAACCAAACTTGTTCACGTCGGTAGTATTTATATGCTTCCACATCATCCAAGGGTCTGTCTTCTGTCTTCTCTCAAGTCTCAGCTTTCAAGCATTCTCCCGGTGGAACCTGGTTTGGTTCATCTTTGGATTCACCTTAGTTTGGACAAGCTGGCAAGTAGGTTGCAAAAGTGAATATAAGTAAACCTCTTAACTGGTCAGTAAGGACCCATACAGGTTTAGAGTGGGGTTTTGTTTTAGCTACTATAAAACGACCATTTGTGTTACTTTCAAGTGTCATACGTCAATGAGCAGTAATGTTTTTCCATTTAACAATGTTCCAGATTGATGATTTATTTTATAAAAAGAGCTAAATGTTACTTTGAATCTAACTCCAGATGCATCTCAGTGGGTTAGTGCTAATGAGTTCATGTGTGTGACCTGTAAGCTAAAAATCCAGACTGGAAGGTAAATGTGTTATTAACTCATATTAATTTTTTTCATTGTTTTATGAAATGTTCAATCGTGCGCCTAAATAAAGTCAGAACCACAGCCACCAAAGCCACTTCTATGTGCTCATTATTATTTGAAAAATGTGATTTATTTACAAAACTACTGGTTTAAAATAACATAAAACAAAAATTGCAGTTAAAAATAACAGTTAATAACATGACAGCAAATGAGAGGGGCTATGATTGTGCTTGCCTTTCAAACACAAAGACAGGATTGTATTTTTTTTCCTGTGTTTTAGGTCCCTCACACCTTTCAAGAGCTACTAACATTAAATTGTATGTTTTATGAATGTTTTTAGGGAGTCTGCCCCTAAGTCACCAGACACTTTGTCAGAGCTTGCATCACTGAATTTTCCTTCTCCAGATTCAGAAGAGTTCCACCTCCTTTGTGGCCTATTGCTAATGACCTTTTCTTTGTCAAAGCCATCCATCCATCAGCTGCTGACCTCCCTTCAGAGAAAGACTGAACTCAGAGTGGTAAAGCTCAAAGAATCTTTATTTTACATTTCTGGAAATGGAGACGGAACACACATGCTCAGGTCTGAATTTTCTGCAGCTAAATCCATATATATATATATATATATATATATATATATATATATATATATATATATATATATATTTCTGCACTACGTCACACCGACACACCGTTTACTTAGTTCCTCTTTTTTGTGTCTGGTTTCCTGTGCAGCTCTGCACTAAACTTCCCCTTTCTAAAGTCTGTTGCCAGATCGACCTGTCACCCTCTGACCTAGTTGTTTCTTATGCCTCTATTGCAAAGTACAAAAGACAATATAATCAGAAAATAAGCATTAAGAATATATATTTATATCGTAACATTACATAAAGTTTTCTGTACTTAATTTTAAAAAGGGGAAAGCCATTCAAATTCTGAAGTAAAAAAAGCTAAATGAACATTCTCCAAGTGTGGTGATTTCATATTTATTATCTGGGATTTTGAAAGACTTTTCTGCTTGGTTGCAAACCTGCCTAAATTCATATTAGTTATTACTTCCATTACAACAATTAATTTTGGTTCTTGTTGTCATCGTCCTGGGTCGGTGACCCAGCGCTTTAAGTTTATTATTATCATTTTCCAATTTATTATCATGATTATTATTGTTTGAGTTCTACGTGTTATATTCGGTCTGCCTCTGAGTCTGCGTCTGTATCTGTCTGTCTATGGCAGGGCTGCCCAATCCCAGTCCTTGAGAGCTACTATCCTGCAGCTTTTAGATGCATCCCTACTCCAACACAGCTGAATCAAATGGTTTGATTACCTCTTCAGCATGCCATCGTGTTTGGCAAAGGCCTGATAACAAACCATTCATTTGATTCGGGTGTGTGGGAACAAGGATCCATCTAAAAGCTGCAGGACGGTAGCTCTCGAGGACCGGGATTGAGCACCCCTGGTCTATGGTGTCACCCCGTCTGTTTGTGAATCTGTCTGTTTTTTGTTTTTTTTGAAACGATGATTTATTGATTTTGTCAGAACAACACGAACAGCAACAAGTCAGCACAGCCAAGCACAAAAAAAAAAAAGAAACAAAGCAAATGCAGGTATATGAGTTACCAGTACACACGCCTGGGACAAAATATGTAAAGCGTTTCACATTCGAAGTCAAGGGAAACAATAAATAAAAAAAAAACAAAAAAAAAACACAGACATTAATCAGTGTGTTTAAAAACAAACTGCGAGTCCCCTTTATGTAATAGCACAGTAAGGTCATGAGGTAGGTGATCAAGCAGAGGCTGCCATATGCTACAGAATGCATTACAATTGCCCTTTATGATGGCACTGAGGCGCTCCATCGGCAGCACCCTGAGCAGTTCTCTGTACCACTGTGTAACAGTAGGGGGCCGTCTCTGAATCCATTGAAACAGTACACATCGCCTCGCCAAATGTAAAAGTTTACTTAACAAAAGCATCTGTACAGAAGACAGAGAGAGCCCTTCTATAGATAAACCCAGAACGAACAGCATAGGGTTCAGTGGGATCGTTCGGTGGAAAATAGAGCAAAGCTCTATAGCAATATTCTTCCAAAATCTAGTAATCAAAGGACATTGCCATATGCAGTGGTAATAGGTCCCTACAGCCGTATCGCACTTCACACAAAGAGCAGAGATCTGAGGGTGAATTTTATTTAGGAACTCCGGCGTACGCTGTAGTCTATGTAAGATTCTGTACTGGCTTTCCTTTAGTCTGTTACAGGGAAACAATTTCATGGCAGATCTGAAAGTTTTGGACCATGCTTCCGCACCAACCTGAGCTTCGAGGTCGGTTTCCCACCGAACCCTGGCCTTATCAGTGGTTATAAAGTTCAAAGACAACAATTTCCCATAACAAAGAGAAATAAATTTCTTTTTTGTAGTCATTTCCTCGTTAACTTTGAGAAGAAAGCTTTCAACAGGGTTCAAAACTGGTTGATTGGCTGGAAATTTAAGGGAGTTCACATAATGCCTTACTTGCAAGAATCCAAAGAAGTGTTTCTGTGGTAAATTATACTTAACTTGAACTTGATTAAAGGCCATAAAACTACCCCTTTCGAACAGATCACAAATAAATCTTATACTTTTAGAATACCAATCATCAAATATATTAATGCCAATACCCGGGGGGAAAGCTTTATTCCTAGTTAGAGGCTGCAGTGCACTAGAGAAACCTCTTCTTCCGACGTGGGCAGTAATATTACGCCAAACCTTTAAAGTGGGCATCAAGACGGAATTAGTTCTGACACCAAGAGGGAGGTCCGCCAGGTCAGTGGATAAGAGACTAAGAGGTGAGAGAGGGTCACAGCACCAGGCATCTACCGATGGTTCGCCCCGGTGAAGGAAGGAATGTAACCACCCTGAGATTATTTGTGCATGACAAGCCCAGTAGTAATATAAAAAGTTAGGCAGTGCCTGACCCCCCTCATCCGTGGGCAGTTGCAAAATCTGTATCTTTAGTCTAGATTTCTTCCCACGCCATATGAATTTAGAAAGACATCCCTCAATCTCTATGAATGTTTTTCTGTTGATCCTGAGAGGCAACATTTGAATGGGGTATAATATTCTGGGTAGCACATTCATCTTGATTAAACTTATTCTACCCGTCCAAGACAGGGGGAGGTCAAACCACCTATTGAGGTCATTCTTGATTGAGGCCACAATCGGCTTGAAGTTCAACTTGTACAACTCCGCTGTGTCTGCGGACACCCTGATACCTAAATATGTGAAACCTGTGGTCGACCACCTGAAAGGGAAATTAGGAGGAGCGTCCCACCTCCCCCCGTCACCCAGTGGCAAAGCTTCAGATTTATCATAATTTATCTTATACCCTGAGAAGAGGCCAAATTGGTTGATGATATGTGTCAGTGCAGGAATAGAAGTTTCTGGCTTAGTGAGAAAGAGCAGCACGTCATCTGCATAAAGGGAGATCCTGTATTCAGTATTCGACAAGGTCACCCCACAGATCTCAGGATCAGTTCTTATAGCCTCTGCCAGTGGCTCCAAAGCAAGTGCAAACAACAGGGGAGAGAGGGGCATCCTTGCCGCGTTCCCCTACCCAGTGGGAAGACATCCGAGACCGAGCCATTAACCAAGACCCTTGCAGCTGGGGCCCCATACAGCAGTTTGACCCACTTGACAAATTCAGATCCCAAACCAAACCTGTCCAAAACATCAAATAGATACTCCCACTCCACCCGATCAAATGCTTTCTCAGCATCCAAAGAGATCGCAAGAGCCCTATAATTGGTGTTCTGAGAGAACTGCGCAACATTTATGAGTCGGTGGACATTGGAGCGGGAGTATCTATTCTTGACGAATCCCGTCTGGTCAGGCTTTATCAGAACCGGCAGAACCTCCTCCAAACGTCTGGATAAAATTTTGGACAGAATCTTACAATCCACACTAAGTAGACTTATAGGTCTGTAGGATGTACACAGATCCGCGGGTTTATCCTTCTTTAAGATCAGGGATATATGGGCAAGGTTTAGGGTGGGTGGAAGCACGCCCCTCTCAAGAGATTCTGTATACATTCCCAACAAAGGACCCGCCACATGTTTGGCCATTTTTTTATAAAACTCTGGCCCAAACCCATCAGGGCCCGGAGCCTTCCCACTCTGTAAGGATTTAATTGCATCCAAGACCTCCTGCACCCTGATAGGGCTGCATAGATCCAATCGACTTTCCTCTGACAGTATAGGGAGGTTAACAGTGTCAAGAAACAGTTTCCTGGCGTCTACAGTATTTTGACACTCAGGGGAATATAAGTCGTGATAGAACTCTTTCATTATTTTGCTGATAAGTTTAGCCTCAAACTGTAAGACACCTGCCTTATCTTTTAGAGAGGGTATTGCATAGGAGCCCCGTTTCCCTTGGGCAAGTCGGGCGAGCAAGCGTCCAGGTTTGTTGCCTGATTCAAATAGTCTATGCTTCGCATAGAATATTGCAGTTTCCGCTTTCTGAGTTAACAGTTGGTCCAGGGCCGATCTAGCTGCATCCAACTTCCGAAGCACAGAAATAGACGAGGATTTCTTAAACTCCCTCTCCAAGTCAGTGATATCGCGTTCAAGCACTAATTGTTTGGCTAAGCTGCTCTTCTTTTTTGCCGAGGTAAAAGAGATAACGGAGCCCCTGAGAAATGCCTTACCCGCCTCCCATAGAGTAGAAGCACTAACCCCGGTAAGTCATTTGTAGAAAGATAGAGTTCCCACTGATCTTCTAAATACTTTACAAAGTTAGGGTCACTAAGGAGAGCTGGGTTTAGCCGCCAATGTCTAGACGAAGGGTCATAATAAGGTGGTGATAGCTCCATTGAAACTGATGAGTGGTCCGAAAGCGCACATGTGTGGATCAAACAGCCCCGGGTTCTGCCAAGGACAGATCCAGAAACAAACATGTAGTCAATTCTGGAAAAGGAAAAATGGGGGCGTGAGAAAAATGTGAAGTCCTTCACATGTGGATTACAAACTCTCCAAGCATCAAAGAGACCAAGATATGAGCAGAGGTCCGTTGTAGCCTTTGCCATTTTTGAAGATGGT